TTAGTATTCAGCCAGGAGCCCAGCCTTAGTTTGCACAAAACATAATAACCTGCTAAATTTTCAGAGTGCAAAATTCAAGATCATAATATATTCCATCAGGACAACACACAGAGCAGCACAAAGATCAGTCACCCTTGGACACAGGCAGATGAAAAGGACAAGTGTACTTACCAAATATATTGGCTGTTGCTATGCTAATAAAGCAACAGAGGGTCCAAAATGGGATGGAGCCCATCCTGCAATGGGAGAGCCCCATCCCCTTCTGTCCCTGAGGCAGCTCTGTGCACCCCACAGAGCCTTTGCTGCCCTTTTATAGCACCCATCGTGGGGATGGGTTCACTTCAGTGCCGCTGGCTGGGCACAGAATTGGGTGAGTGACGCACACGATGCTTCTGAGCAATCTGCAAGAGGCTCCTTCAGCTGGAACTGCCCTCCTGGCTCTCCCCAACCAGCTCTCATCCCCGCCCCAGGGAGCACAGTGAGCCACAGTGGCTGGCAGGGGCTCAGTTATTCCAACAAGTAAATTGAGGATATTGGTGTGACCCTGGGCAGAGCCCTGGCTCTCACCTGCCCCAGGGTGCAGCCAGGCTCTGTGCTCCCTAGTGGAATTGTACATTTTTGTATTCCCAGAGAGCTGAGCCTGCTGAGGGACAGACGAGAGTGAGACCTCTGCGTGCTGCACATTAGGACTGAATATCAACTCATAATGTGGTTTTTTACTAACTGAAAAACAGGATGGATGCATTCACTGGCTAAGTGAATTGAGGATCAGAGTCAATTACATTCTGCCTTTTGTTTTCACTCCCACTTGCGCCATGCACTTTAACACAGCCAAGTACCTGACAGGCACAGCTTCACTCTTGGGCATCATCCTCCAGCTGTAAGATCAGTATGACCATGAAGCTTCTTAAGTTAAGCTTTTTGGTATTAATTACATGCAAGATCCTCAACATAAAACATATGAGAAATATTTCCTTGGTTCCAGAATTTAATTTGTTAATTACACACCTCTTGTAACCGTGAGTCAGCATTTACTCGCACCAGGAATTATGAGAACTCACCCTCACTTGTAACAAAGGTGATTGTGTAAAAAAGCCCTAAATCATTACTTAAATAATAACAGTACATGTTTGAAGCTGGATTTAACTTGATTTCAAGAAAAAGTGAGAGCAGCACTTTTGTTTGTGATTCATGGATACTAGACAGCCTAGAAACAGCTCTGTTGATTCTCTCCCACAGACTAAGATCACGACAGCAGTGATCCGAGCATCCATCTGTGCTGGCTGTAGACCACTGCCATGCCATGGTGCTTGATGGATATGGCAAATATGATCTCCAAGAGCAGCACAAGCTTGCTTTAGCATGACTAGGCTTTTAAAAATTAGTTGTACTGTATTTGCTCAAGTCCAGAATAGGTTGCTTGAATGTAAATTCCAAAGTCAACAGTCTACAGAAAGACCAAGCTGGGAAAAAATGAAAAACATGTCCAGCATAGATGACAGACCAAAAAAGGCAACACTTAGAGGCATAAAGATGACAAATTATGTAAGAGCCCTGATCAAGTAGGCACAGAAAGAAACTGAATTTCTGGATTAGCACAGCATTTGTAGGGAAACATCCATGAAGAAAGAATCAGATTAAATAACCAGTACTAACACCACCATGGCTAAATCAGAAAAGAAGAAAAGTTTGACCATAACATGTATTTCTGACCCAAGGGTGCTTCAAGAGCCTCAGGTGTGTATCTGAGCCCCACACAGTGGGGCAGACACAGGAGAGTAGCAAGAGAGAGCCACAGTGCCACAGACAGGCTCTGCAGGGGCAGCAGCTTGGTGCTGGCAGGTCCTGTGATGCGTCCAAGCCAGTGACAAGTCTCCAGAGTGTGTTGGGGGTTTGTGTGTGATACTGATTTAGTCCAATCTTCTAAAGTTGTTAGAAAAGTGTAATTCAGGTTCCTTGCACAGCAAATGGGGAGAGGAGCTTATTGAGGTCGCTACTCACATTCCTTCTTTCTTTGCTATAAAAGGCTGGTAATGGAGGAAAGCAGACAGGAAAGCACGAAGTATCAAAAGGCTATTATTATCAGAAAGAAGCATAAACTCGCAATATCTGTGTATTGCTGATTCCTAAGATGATGTTTATTTCCTTTAGAAACACTCAAAAAACAACCTATGAACTACTCAAGCTGGGAAGAACAGCCAAGTCTCAAAAGTCTCTTAAAAAACTAAGTGAGAAAAGGAATTTTGGCAATTGGCATCACTCAAACCACTTCTAGATGTGCGTCAAACCAAGGTGGTCATCTTGGTACGTGAACGTTCAAGGGGATGCAAGAGCCCATGGATTAAAAAGAAAAAAAATGTTGTTTACGAAGCAATATGTGGAATTCACATTCATCTGAGAAAAAGGGGCACTTGTCTACCTATGGCTGATCAAATACAAAGTAAGAAAAGCCTTGCATAACCTTCAGTGAAAGGGCAATGGTATTGACCTCTATTTTTAGCACCTGAGAAAAGATGGAGTAACATCTTAAATTAGTTCACCAATGAAGAGCAGAAAAAGAGTAAGTGGAAAAGGTCCCTGTGACCAATACGGCCTTACAACTATCATGTCTTCAAAATCATTGCTCCAGTGCTGGAAATAAGGGTTTTGTTTGGTTGTACCTACTGGCAAAAGCAATCTGTACCACAAACTACAACTGCTGGGGCAAAGATAAAAGTCAGTGAGATGAGACACTGAAATCACAAACCTCGAAGAAGAAGAAGACATTTATTCATTGTTCCAGTTTTGCATACACTTTCTCAGCAGAAGAGACAGTTTGTGCAACTGCAATTTTACATATTGAAAGGCCCAGGGATAAAAGATTAATGTATATAAATACACAGACATCTGTACCCACAGAAAAGTTACTCTTACCTCAATAAAATTGGAGCTTGAAAAGTCAACCTTAGCTTAAAAAAAAGGACTGGAGTGAGCTTCCCAAATGAGGCAGCAAATTGGAAGCAAGAGTTAAGAAAACATTGTGAAATTACGCTTACATCAACCAGTCCATTCATTTCAAACAATAAATTGTTTTTCTGTGTTAATAAAGCACCAGTGTTGGACAATCCTCTCACACATTTTGAGAAAGCTACATAAAAAAAGGTTAATACCATTTTTTACACTTAGATAGAAAACTAAGGTTTACATTCAGCACATTTCTTTCCAAGACATTGTGAAGCACTTATCTGTATCACCTCTGATAAAGACCTCATGCAAAATTGAAGGACGACAAGATGACAGCCCCAGATAATGCACTTTTCAGTGTATTCACTTTATATGTGACATAGTCTTCAAATTTAAAGAACAATATGGAAGTTTCAGTCATTCCCATGCTAAACTTACCTAGATCAGAAAAAGTGGGCACAGGATTTGTCAAGTCTTAAATTATAACTTACCATTTGGAAAAGTGCCTTTGGTGATAGAAGAACCTAAAGAAGCCCATGTAAGAATATCTGAATTTGCATTTGTCCTTGCAGGAATTGACCATTTCTAGGAAAAATAAAATGCCTTTTCTTTTTCTTATTTATTTATTGAAAATAACAGTTTTCCTCTATCCAACAGTACCACAGTGATTCCAGGTAGAAAAATAGGTGTTTTATTCTCACAACACCAGGGATGCAGATTGGTTTGAAAACCCAAGCAGGAGACAGGTCTGCAACCACAGTGACACACAGGATTTGCAACTTGAATTGATTCAATATTTGACAAAAAAATGCTGAGGCAGTGAGAAAAGTCACCACCAGTCACAAAAGGATAGCAACAGGGTACAAAACTCTTGGTGTTGGTGGGACAAAACTGCTTCGGGTCTTTTCAATAATGCAATATTTAACCTTCTCTGAACTGAAGGCAATGGTGCAGAGCCAGTGGAGTCAGGAAAGGAAGGCCAAGGACAAACAGCTCCTGCCACACAACAAAGCTGTGAATTCCATAAGCCACCAATGAAAAAGATGGGTTAAAATTGAGGAACCCATCTCTGTCATGTGACAGATAAAACTAATGAACCTAAAAATTTTGGCTAAGGAACCCTCAGTGTGCCAGAAGTGAAAGACACATTCAGGAAAAGGCAATTTGCACAGATATTTGCACAGATACTATGGTATGTTTGTACAGATCTGATATCTTATTTCTACTGCAGACAAGACTCTGGACTGGCCAGATGCTTGGTCTGACTCGGGAAACCTCTTCTTCAGAAAGTCTGCTAATTCAAAAATTGTTTCAGTATGTTGCTCCAAGCCTGAATCTGGTCTTGTATCTTGAGATCCTGCTTTGAGACTGTTCCTTCAACAATGATTAAAATGTTTCAGAATTAAAAATTTTAAGTTCATTATTTTTGTGTCTACTTTTTCTGTGAATGAAAAAAATTTTCTATATCAGTAACTTACTGAAGGTCTGTCCAGTTTCATTCATCTGCTGCTTATCATATGTGCCCTTGTCCACAGGATGTCTAAGAGAAGAACTTCCTTAGCATTGCTGGTTTATATGTTTTCTACCACAGTAGTGTCTTAAACAGCTTGTGGATCATATTAAAATAAATTACTAAAAGCAAACTAAAGTTACTTTGTAATGACATTGTACAAAGGCACAAGAAGGGATGCCATCACTGTGAACACATTGTTGAAAGACATTGATTGTAAAGAATTAAGTGCATTGCAAAACTCAAACCCTGAAATTGTTAAAACATCAAAACAGCTCAAGAACAGAAATATCTTCTAATTACTTTGCCACATACATTACTTAATTCAGTACTGTGAATAATTTACTGTTTGTATCATTTGCCTACAGGCTAAAATACAACTGAAGATTCCCTCAAGCCTTGCAATGTAGAAAGGTATCAATGACTGCACATAACCTAAGGACTACAGGCTAAACATGCAACTAAAGATTCCCTAATGCTTTAAAACATATGCAAACCATCACTAGCTCACCAGAAGAGAAGTCCATGGAAAGGGAGCCCAGGCACGTAACAATCTCAACAGACCTTTATTGTGAGTATTAGAATGCAGTCAACATTATTGCTATTATAAAAAACAAATCACAGAAGGAAGTATTTTGCTTCTCTCACAGAAGATTTAATCATAGTGCAGTGCTGCCTCTCTCAGAGTCTTTAGTGACAATACACTGATGCACATGGCTACAGCTGAACACAGGAGGCCTGGCCAGTTTTCAGGAAAGGAAGACAGCTGTTTGAAGCAAACAGCAATTGAACTAGCTTTAGTTATCCCACCCACAGTGTAAGGGAAGGGAACTTCTGTCCTGAATGATTTTTCATGCTAGTTCATTTTCTCCATGTGGTCTCCAATTTTTCATTTGGGTTGTTCAGGCTGGTGCAGAATGGCTGCCAAATGCACACTCTGCACTCAGTGCAGTGTATTTTCACCATCGTTACATGCTCTGTTTTTGTTTTCCATATACAAACAGATATACACATAGTGTATAATATTTATTGCTAAAGACAGACCCCCACACCCAGTGCCCAGGACATAACAAAGGATAATAGAAACCATTACTGAAGCATTTCAAACAGCCTCTGCAAAATCCTCACCTAAAGCCATATGCAATCAGTACAACAGAAAAAAATTGTGAGCTAGTAAAATGTGAGAATAGCAACGGGTACTTAAAAAGTGATTAAGCCTCTGACTTTAATAAGCACTCCAAAATTAAGGTGCATATACTGAAACATTTTTAAGCAGTAGAGCAAAAACCTATAGTTCCAGTGTTCTAAACAATCCTGCTTGCAAATGAATGGCATCATTGCACACACTCCCTTTACAGACCAGCACCTCCACAGAGCTACTAACAGGGCAAGGCAGCCGGGACAGCCTGACTGCTCTTTTGGCTGTGAAGCCTCTGCCTGCAGTCCTGCCCATCCTCCACTTGCTGATTTTTATACCAAGCTCCAGTTCAGTTCAGGATCTGTTTTGTGCCTTTAGAGTTCCAGTGAAGAAAAATGGTTACAGCTTCCTTTTAAATACAAAGGAAAAATAGTGTAGTTTACAACATCAAATAGTTTTATAATTTCACTGTAATGTCTGAATGACTCCTTTGCATCCCAACCCTCAGTTTGGTAAGGAGTGCTGGAGCCCAGCAGTGCCAGAGGGGTTTTGCTGTAATATTAATTCAAGTCTAGTTAAGTTAGAAGCCAGATGGGAGTAGAGGAAGATCACAAATTGCACAAGACAGAAGAGGCTTACTTAAGAAAGGCATCAAAAACACCTGGAAATTTTGATGATGGTGCATGCACTCCAACTGTACACAAGTCCCAGGATGCTCTGGAGGCTGTGGACAGAAGAGCCAAAGAGGCCTTTCCCCATGACTACTTCCCACAGCAGCCAGGAAGAACTGGGCATGAGAACAAAGGAGTGACACCCTCCAGGCACCTCAGAAGCCAGAGTGCAGGCAGCTGAAGAACAAAAGAAGAAAAAGATGCAAGCTGCAGAATGAATAGATGAGCACATGTAGAAGCTCAGAGATAAAATTAAGAGAGAGAGGAGGCTGTCAGCCATACAAGATTACTGCACCCATGGAAGAACAGTTTCAATTCTTTGCCACCCAGCAAATACAGGAAATCTATCAGAAAATTGCAACCCATCTTCTTTGTCTATTTGAGAGAAAATGACAGGCTTCTACCACTGTAAACCACTCCACAGCTGAACAAAGATCTATACATCTAAGGCCAGAATATCCAAAATATGGGCACTATTTAACCTACAGCTACCCAAGAAAAGGGTGAACAGGAAGTATCTTCCAACCCATTCCCTGCAATATGACCTGAAGTACATCCATTTTGTAACCAGAACGTGGCAGCCCCATCACGTCATACCAGAGCACAGCACCAACACCACAATTCATTTATGACTGCAGTACTGCTGTCCTGCCATCACTGCAACTGAAACACAATTCCTGATGTAGATGCCTCTGGTATGGTCACAAGTAGGAGCAGGCTTTGAAATGAAATCACCCTGATACCTCCATTAAAAAAAAAAAAACTAACAGGCAAACCCCTAACTAAACCTCAGACAAAAAGCTGGGCATTGAAAGGCTCCAAAAGTTTGCCATTTAGCTCTGTGAAATCACAAGAGGCTTCTGTAATATGGCATTTCCTCTTTTGTCTAATACTATTTAAAATTCCTATGCAGTGACAGAAGGCTTCAAATTTAAACATTTTGCCTTTCTGTGCACACATATCAAACAGTCCTTACATTGCCATATACTGTTTTTTACTCAGAGAGGGTCTGTCCCCTTCATCAAACAATGCAGTCATAATTCAAACCCCAATAAATGATGTTGCAAGTAGACTGAGTGTACATCCCTGGCTTATTTAGAGAGGAAGCAGGAAGACAGATGGAAAATTATGCCTACAGGAATAAGATTCTCTTGATAAGGCCAACTAGGAAGAAATACTGGTAAGAGCCCAATCACACCGGGGCTGACTGGTACATGAGCAAAGCAATCAACTGTAAGCTACATTCTGTGCAAAACGCTTAGCATTTTTATGGCACTTGACTTGTGTTTAAAAGAAAAACCTCAAAAGCATCCCAAACCTTTGAATACTTGAGAAGCTGGGGTCAGAAACTAATGTCCACATGTTACAGACCAGCACCATGACTTGAGAAAGCAAACTCAGACAAGTTTGTGAAACATTGGAGCAAGACACGATGTATCATACACAGCATGGTCCACACGGACACTGAGATTGTATTTCTTAGAAGATATGAATGATTGCAGGAGAGTTTTTATAATACATGACTACACAATGAACATTAAAAAAAATACTGAACAGATTGTTTTGCAAACACAGTCTATCCTGAACAAGGCAGGATCTTGAGGGGTAAAATTACATATTTGTGTAAATTAAGAGGCCATTACACATACAAACAGAAGACACATTAAAGCTGCAAGGGCAACTTCAACTTTGACCTTAGGATTTCCTTTTCAGGATACCATTCCTCCACCTTTGTAGTAAGAATAAAACCTCTGTCCTCCCCCCTGAACTTTCCAAGTCCACCTCCACCTTCAGTAACATTTACAATTATATTACATCACACACATGCACACACATTGCATAATATTGCTACAGTGTATGCTGCATAAATTCTGTAAATACACTCCACTTTGTTTCAAAGTAATTCATCTGGATTTACACTTCTCTTATACAGTACACAGAGTACCACATTCAAGGATATGCAGCAAGTGAATAGTCTATAAAAACGTCTCACATATCCAAAAGCAAGTAGGCCACTCAACTATTCATGTTTGAAGCAGTTATTCAGGCATCATCTATATCACACAGAGTATTTATTAACAGTTGCTATAAAATGTCAACAACTCCACAGCTCTAATGTTCTTTCTGCATTATGGAGTTGCCAACCATTCCATAATTCCATGTTTTCATGCATCTCTGTGATGTCTCCTACAAGCTTGATGTGGGAAGACTTAAGTAGCAACCGCTCTGGAACAGGGGTTTACATTTTGCTTTGGCCATCAGGAGTGATAACTCACTTCAGGTATGACAGACAGAGAGGAAAGGTCAGGGTACGTTTACTTTAGCAATGAACCAGCCACGCTGCTTTCTTTCTCAATAATGGTTTTATCATGAAAGTTCAATGCACTGGTTGCAAAATCTTTCCCAGATAATCCATCTTTGGCACATTTTTCAGTTGTATGCATCCTTAAAAGGCATTCCAAGATTTTTTGATGGTCTGTACATAATAACAATCACTTCTTTTTTACATTTGTATGTAGATCAGGAAGAAAAGTGGAAAATGTAGAGTATGCAGAATAGTTTTAATAAACAGTTTTACATACAGTACCTTACATATAGAACAGTGTGTTTGCAAATTTAAATAATTTTTGAATGTACAGTGGCTTGTACTCTTATCAAAAGGTAAATTCAAGTTTACTGTCTATCGGTTCTAAAATGCATTTATACAGATAACTAGAACTGATAAACAGACATGAGGCATAAAATGTTCAAGTATCTTAATGTCCTCAGTTAAATAGCCTCCTTTTAACAGTCATATTTTACAAATTTCAAAACCTGTACATACATTATTTTCAATTTTAGAAACTGCTTGTTAAAAGGTAATATGAACCACCAGTTCTTGTAGTCTATGGTAATAAAACTAGACATGTGTAGGTAGAAATGTGTATGGCATGTATACATGTACACATAGCTATACACATGTACATACACACACAGACACGGATGTAGCACTGGGGACAGCGGCAACTTATCAGCACAGGAAATGTCCTGGGCTCAACATCCAGCAAGAGCTAACAGAGCAGGTAGGTTGCCTTTGGTTTCATGACATTTCATTCACTGAAGCTGAAAAATTTTACAAAAACAACTTGGATAAGGTATCTTGTGATTTTTGCCTCTAATGGTTTAGAATTTCCACAGCCACAGACAGTTTTGCTGCTCTTGTCATGCCTCATCCCCACTGAGGATGGTGAAGTTTTCAGAGGGCCAACATCAGAATAGAGCTACCCAGGACAAAAATTGTACCTTGATTCCTGAACACTGCTGTAGAACATAAAAAAATATAAACTAGATACAATTTTGGAAGGACTGCTGGCACCAAGTAGGACTTTGGAAAAAACCTTCGCCCAAGTCATAATTAAACTCTCATCCCAGTGATTTTAATATTATTTGGCACATCGGACCACTACTTTCCACTTCTGTTTTAAAGGAGCCTAGGGGTGCTGCTCTAGGGATTTCTATTTAAAAAAATACTTTAAAAGGGAGACCATGACAAGTAATTTTTTTCAAAAATCAAAGCTAGTATGTTTGTTTTCCTGAACACTCGTAGGAGAAAGAAATAATCTAAAAACCTTCCTTGTAGAGAAGATACAGCTCTCTCTGTATCTATCTTTCACTAGCAAGATAAGAGGATTGCATTTTTAGTCAGCTGAATTCTGCTAATTTAGAAATGTTTGCCAAGGGTTTTAAAATAGTAGCACTGCTCTTCAAAGAGTTTTTGTTTGTTGAATTTTCTTGTATCTGGGGATTTACTTGTTCAACATGTTAAAATGCTGAGAAATTGACATTTCTCAGTATATTATATATAATTTTGAAGCTCGGACATTGAAAATTCATATTTTTAATAAAACAGATTCCTGACTCTAAACTTCCTCTCTTCTTTCTAAAGCTTCAGCCTATTAATGTAATCAGCAAAGAACCAGATAAATGCTCAGCTTTTTGCTGTCTTCCTGTCAGTCTTGTGGCTAATAAGAAAACTCATGTAAAGAACCTATTTTTACTTCAATATTCCTCCTTTTGTCATACAGAGCAAAGTGTTGCTATTTGCTGTACTTTTCCCATGTCGATTAAGAGCTGTTTGATACGTCGCTTGAGCTGAGGCAATCTTGCCAGAGGATCTGGTGGTTCCAGTTCTCCAGTGAAATCAAGCCAGCTTTCTAAAACTACAGAAAGGAAAGGAAGAAGTTGATTAGAGTAACTCTTTGGGAAACAGTTTCCATAAAAATTAAACTTTTCTTTCTTACTTTGTCCTTCAAAAAAGGGAAAATACACTGAGGCTGTGATTTTTATTCAACAGAAGAAATTTTGTTAGGGAAACACCAACTAATTCTGTATTTCTATTGAACCATCCAATCTTCTGATTTGATTGTTGCTGTAAAAAGGTATCTGGGACTAAATTTTACCCTTGGCTCACAATTTACCCTCTCCACACATAAAAGCAACTTCAGTTCACAGTCTACTCTGACAGTTCTGAAACAGAAAATGCAACCCTTAAACACAAGGCTTGCTTCTGCCACTTCAGCAGGCTCCTGTGGACAAGGTCCAGCTTACAGAATGGTTTTTCCAATCTTCAACAAATGTTTTCAAGGAATTTCTCTGCTTGTAGAAACAGAGAAGGGAAAAGGTCAATCCTATTAGTTTAGAAACACTGTATCTAGGAAAAGCAGGGATACTGGAAGTAAAACTGCAAATAGAAATAAGACAACTTTATTTGTTAGAAGATTAATTAAGGAGTCCTAGGATTAGACTACAAGCTTCCCTAACTACTAGTTTCTATGACTGGCAGGTCACAGGCACTTATGTGGTACAATATTCTCATACAATGTAATTTCATTCAAGTTTTCCCATGAAGACTGAATTGTCTTCATGAGACCACTTGCTTACTAATAAGAAAAAAAACAAAGTTGAAGGCACAATAAACACCTTTTTTTTTTCCCCCTACATTTTGTCAATTACTACAACAATCAGGCAAAAACCACTCCAGGTGTAGAAAAAGCCATCAACTTTAGGATTCATACCTGGATAAAGACTAGACAAGTTATCTAAGATTTCTGAAGTCTGAGCCTGAGCTCAGGGGTTCTGAGTGCCTCATCTACTTTGATGGCATTGAAAAAACTTGAGGAAGGGGGTAGGGAGATCAAGGGTACAAGCTCTGCTTATAATTCTGGGACCCAAATTTGAACAGAATACTTAAAAATCCATCCTCAGTGCCTCAGATCACTTTGAACACATTAGTTAAGAGAGATGCTGCTACAAGTACATTAACAAATAATCTGGCAATGCAGTTACCATCAACTTCTTTTTCAATCAGGTCCATTCTGCTGGTGACTTCGTTCTGTACATTCTCTATATGGGTGAGGAGATTTAGCTGCCATTGAAGATGTGTGTCCACTTGTTCTTCTGAGCCTTTTCTTTCATTACAAACAAACACAGTGTTTCCTTCAGCAGAATTCTTCATAGGAGCAACAGAAAGAAAAAAATTGCCATTTAAGATTTTTTTTTTCTTTGTTTTAACTTCTGGTGTTGATTTCAACATTTGAGTCACATGATAAACTCTGCTGGCTTAGAATTGTACTTCTGTGTACAGGACAAAAAGCTTACTCAGAAAGCCACATTCTATGACACATCAATAAACTAAACCAAATGCAGATTCCACACAAGTAAGCAACTATACCTTTTGCCTCATTTCCCTAACACTGAAATTTATCAGTTCAAATATTTTCTTCAGTGCAGTAAGACAGATTGTACTTCTGTGCCCTTTTTATATAAATAGCAACTTAAATCATAAAGTGCTGAACTGCATGGGTCTACTGCCACCAAAAATGTGCAAAATCCTAAGGTTTGTTTCCATGGAAAACTCTCTAAAATGCAGAAGTATCTAAGATCTCAACAGTCACTACTTTGCACAAATAAGCTGGACATCCTATTTCACAGAATCCCAGAAGGGCTCAGCTTGGAAGGGACCACAGTGGATCACCTGGTCCCAGAGGGTCATCCCAGGGCACGTGGCACAGGACTGTGTCCAGATGGTTCTGGAGTATCTCCAGTGAGAGGAGAGAGTATCTCTCCTCACTGGAGATACTTCACATCCTCTCTGAGAAATCTGCTCTGTTTGCGATTAAGACAAAAATCTTCTCTTCCTACGTGTTATTACCCCACCTACCTTCCAGGCACAAGTCTGGGGTAGAACTGAACATGTTTGGGGACAGTTACAGTAACACGTGGAGTTATGCAAACATAGTATCTGAGGAAGACTGACTTCTTCAATATAATTAGTACCTTCACAGCATGCCAGAGATAATACATGAGCTCCTAATATTTCTATATTTGATGTTTCAGCTACTTAGTGGAAGTAGATCAGTTTTAATGAGTTAAAAATACTCAGCATCTCAGGTAATTAGGAGGATTAACAGCTTCCTTTCTATATCCACTATGACTTCATATGCAATGAAGTTCTTTCACTATTGAAGATTTTATTTTAAGGACTAGAATGCCAGATAGATGTGCTCACCCAGTGTCAGCTCAGGTCAAATGCCAGAGCAAAGAATGACTTTAATTGTATTAATACACTTCTCTGAAGACCTCAGCTAATTTTCCACATCACTTAAGAAAAAAATGGCGTGAGGTCTGTTATTAAAATATTTCTCTCTCCAGTCAAATATAGAAGAGTGAGAAGAGAGGTAAAGAAGAAAATAGGAACTGAAGGATTTTAAGTTTCAACTTAAGCAAAAAAAACCCAATTTTCATTTTAAGACTTAAATTAAAATACACCAACCAAACCAATAAAACTCTGACTGACCTGCAGGCAGCTTTATTAGCAACTCAGATGGGACAAGTGTTGTTAATATTCGTAATGTTCATTAAAGGAGTTAAAATTATGTATCAGGTATAGATTTTATTTGAAAGGTATGAGAGTTTTGATGCCTTTATGATATTTAAAATCCCTTCTCTGAAGGGATTTTCAGTGTCTTCAGTAATCAAACTTTTCATAATCTTATGAATATGAATAATATTTCCAATATAAGTAAGAAATTATCAATTCCTTACAATTTTCAGACCCTCTCCAAAACTACAAAAATGCCATTTTTCCCTAGCTGTAAAAGGATCCAAGTCCATAATCCTAAAAGCAAAATCATCTTTCAGCCTGCTTCAGCAAGACAGAGGAAATTTCAAAGCTAAGGATCTGAATATCTAAATAACATCATAAATGTGGGTTTTTTTCTTCTAATGACCTCTATATTTATTCAAACGGCTTCTTGAAAAAAACCCATAAAATTCAACAGGTTCTCCTCTAACCTATGAGATCAATATAGGTAATCAGGCAGGGATGGCAGGAGAAGAGATAGGATACTGCTCATGGACAAGAAATAACAGGAAGCAGGGGAAGTCTTGTGCTTTCAGAAGCAAAACCAAGGAAACTAAATACAATTTTAAAGATAATGCATAGCCCAAAAAGGGACTTGAAAACAGTTGATCCAAACACTGTAAGAGAAATGGAAGTATGTAACAGAACTGCAGAACAGGGTAAGACAAAACAGTATGGAAACCCAGAATATTAAAAGGCTCTGAAGAATGCTAAAAAGGAAAACTCAAAGCATCAACCAAACTTTGACAAGGAAAGGAGAAAAGCCATCTTAGAGAGAAGTCAGGATCATTTAGGAATCGTCCTTCAATGTCAGTTTTAAGGTAAGTGCAGGCAGGTTTATATGGAGAAACCAAGGAGACCTTTTCCATGACTATTACATTGAGGCAGAAGGCCTTATTTTAATATCAAGGCTGACTACTGAAAAGGCGATCAAGGTTTCTCCAAAGGAAAGAACACTATTAAACCAAGAAGAGATCTGTTGAGGACAGTGTAAAACAAAGAGCACCTAGCTTTTTAGATATATGCTTCAGTCTCTGAAGGAAATATTAGTTTTGTTTAACTGCTCATGTATATTTTCCTTTAATTCTAAATATCTTTATACTATTTATACTGTTTACAATGACGATTTAAACTACTGTTGTAAGGCAAGAGTATTTGGCACTGCTGCATGTCTCCTTCCTATAAACCTCAAAATAGCTGTGCAGTGTAGCAAATTTAGCACAGAAACAGGTATTTTTAATTAGAATGAACCTAAAATTCGCCATTCAGACTATACAGCTTACATGCCACATTTAGAACTAAAATTAAAAAGAAAAAAGATGCATCATACTCATTTCTTCCACACCACAAACTGTTACTTCTAAAGGGTGATGAGTTGGATGATTTATCCTCATACAGCTGCTATTGCAGAAAACAGAAAGGTTTGGTTCTCTTTGGTTTTTGCTCTGAGAACTGTTCACTAAAACCAGATTAACAAGTTTCAGACCTTTTCCATCGAATAATGGATTCAAACCATTAAAGTAAAAATGAGAAAGAGATGTTTAAACAGCAAATTATAATCCTGACTAAATATGTTTCATTAGAAGAAATATGCAATATAGAAGATTGAAAAGCAGTTGCACATGAGGTGAAATTAGTTGGTCAGTAAATCATTACCTGTGAAAGACATTCTAGGTACCACTGCTATTAAAAGAAAAATAGAGTACAATAATAAACACTATTAAAAAAGCCTTGGTTTAAAAAATAACAACCAAAACCCTCTAACACATGTAGATAACCAAATGGAGAGAAAAAGGGAAACTCGTCCCATTTTCCTCACCTCATAAAAACCATGTAAATTCTGTTCCAATACCCTGCATTTTAAGAATGGAGTTTCCTTTCTCTCAAAACATTGGATTGAGAATGATTTTTTAGCATAGGCAATACCTTAAACCATACCTTCTATTTCATACACCAGCTGAAATGAACATACTCCACCTGGAACAATTTCAGTGATCCAAGTTTGCTTCCAGTGATTTCTGCAGACTTATTTGATAAATATGTTGACTTACAGCAATAAAGATTTTTAAATACCTGTATGGTCAGTTTTATCAGACTAAACATACTTTTCCAAATAAAATTTCCCAGATGAAGAATGATACTTACCTGCTCATTCATGCCACCATCTTTAAAAGAATATTGTAAACAGTTTTTATTCTCTGTGTGATATTCCTGATCTTCCTCAAAGCTACTTGTGTCTTCATCATCTGAGCTCATAGGGTCAGTGACTGCTTTGTAGTCATGACTAAAACTCTGTGGTTTTTGGTAACTGTGCTCACTTGTGATGTATGTTTCTTCCATCTTCTGGGGTATACTGGGTGGCTCTTTATGGTTTTGACTATGACACGTCCTTTCAGCTGGATTAACAGCATCCTGCAAAGTCACTAACTTTTTCTCTACCCCAACAGTTCTTTGTTCTTGTTCTTTTCTCATCCCTGAGTAAGCCCAGAGATGAAGGTCTGGATGATGCTTATTTCTGCAATGAAGAGGAGGAAAAAAAGCAAGTTATAGAGATCTTAGTGCAGTTAGAGGACTGAACTATTAAGCACCCAATTCTCATAGATATTAACTACTGAAAAGCATGATTATTAAAAAAGAAATATTCCTAGGTCATTCATCAATTTAAAATAAATCCAGAATGCCCCTTTAACACAAATTTTACCAAAAAAATCACCAATAATCCCAACAGACCATATCTGCTTGGGTGCTGAACACCTAGCTCCTGCTGAAGCTGAGGGTACTGAACATCTTGCACTTGAATTATTTAAAAAATTATACAAGAAATAACTTCAATGTGAGAGAAAAATGCAAATGGAATAATGGTAGTCTTTGCTACCTGAATAGATACAGCAGGAAAATAAACCCTGGAGGGATACCTACTTCAGTATCCCAATCTTCAGCTGCAGTCCATGCAGTATTTCAGTTACCCCATATACATCTGCCAGTAGGTGATGGGTTGACACGATCTTTTTGGCATTAAGATGAGAGTAGTTCTCTTTCAAGAATGACAATCCACACATGTGTCCATTGTTTAGCCAGTCTTTGTCATAGAGATATTTGGCACTCCACCTCTGTCCTGGGGTAAGCAATAAAGAAATTGAGGGACATCTAAAGCCACAGCAGAATTATGTTTACAACTAGAGTGCTATATTTATGTGTTGTACTTGCCTAAATATCTCCTAACATCCATGAAAGGATGACTCAGGATTTTGCTATTAATATATATGAATTTAGTTTTTGTGGATTAAGAAGAAAGTCAAAACTTATGAGAAAGAAAATCAGCCTGAAAACCCTTTAAATGGCATTTGAAATTAAAATCTAATCACCTTTGCAATCAAACTATATGATATTAAGATCTATGCTGCTATCAAAATAAAAATCACCAAAAATATTACATTGACATTTTATTTATCTAAGTAGTTGAACTTACTTTTTTTTTTTTTAAAGAAAGCCCAAGTTACCAAGAAAAATATTAGAGTGGATTTTATATGGACATATCCAAAACACCCAGTTTGTTTCTAAAAGACAAATGTTACACTTCAATACTGAAGTCAATATCTATTTATTAGAAGCCAATAAAAGGCTTCAGGAAAAGCAGATATTTCAGTTATCTGACAGCAGAGCTCTTACACTCCCCTTTGAGGTGCCTTTCACCAACTTGTACGAGGGTATTGATGTATGTGGGCCTCAGCTCTCCCCTGCTATGCCTTAACCCAACCAGCAGGAATGAGTATTTAGCTAAGGCTTCTACAGTAGCTAAATAACTACTAAAAAACCCAAACAAATAAAAAAACCCATAACAAAATGAAACAAAACCAAAATGCCCACCCAAAACTAGAAATGCATAATGCTAATTATTGCAATGTTATTGTTTACAACAAGGCACCCAGACGGACTGACAGTATCTTACACTCGATTTCAAATCATACTAGCATCATAGACAGAACAAAGAACGGGTTGATGGAAGCCCTTCATACCTTTCAGGAGAATACCCTGTCTATCTCCTTTTTGCCCATTATCCCAATACACTTTAAAATACTGACATTGAGAATGACTTTTTTCTCCTGACATAGAAAGAAAAGAAGTAATGGTTAGGAAGGGAGAGAAGATAAAAATTAGGGACACAGACTCTGCATAGCAGGGGAAAACGAAGTACCTAACACAGTGCAGGGAAAGAGCACAAGACAAATTAGCTGGGTTTAGTAAGAAAAAGCTGAGCTGCTCAAGAGACACCACACAGAACTATCAGACAAGACTCTCTACCACCAGTTTTGATTCACACTGGGACACATCGAACCAGCTCTACTTTCCTAATATTTCATCTCAAAAATAGCTGATAATATCTCTGCAAACAATTTTCATATTTCACTTCTTAAATTTAGAATGACAGTAAATTTGAGGTTGTGGTCTCATTGCCCTTTTGAAACAGCTGGAGTGCTGGATATTTCACCAGAGGACAAGTATGTGCATTTGAATCAATTGTCAGAAGAAAATACAAAAGACTTACTTCCAAATTTTTTGGATTTTCTCCAAATAACAGCTAAGAAGAATGTGTTTATCACAGAATCATTTTTAAATCAACATCTTCCTAATCAAATGTATTCAGTTTAAAAGTCAATAGTTTTCCTAGTTCTTACGAATTTGACCTAACTATCTGAAGATCAACATATGCTGTGTGTGCACTATTGTTTACTACAAGATGGAATGGATTTTTCTGTATTTTAAATATTCAGTTCCACACTTTTACACAGTTCTGGACAAATGTAAACATTCTAAAATTGCAGTTACTAAGAAATGCCATTCACAGAATGTTTGAGTGTACTGTGGTACCGAGTCCTTTTCCTCTAAGAAAATATTTAAATGAACAAATGTGATTCCAAGTATTGGCAAAACAGATCCCTGAACAAAAATGATTTCTTTAGAAAGGCTTTCCAAACTATACTGACATAAAAAAGTGCTAAGGTTTGGGAGGAATTAAGTTTCAACAAGTAAAACAATGGTAACTGAGTTTATGGATAAGATTTAGCATAGCTGACCATGATGTTACTAACATAAAAGTAAGTTTCTGCTCAGAGCCAAACTTAGAATCACTTGCCCCAAAGAAGCATCACACGTAACACAAAACAGACAAAGCTTGAACAATTTAAGCAACTTCATAACATCTTTGCTCAAAAATCCCAAGCAGGGCTGCAGATAAAGGTGGTTTATCCATACCTGGTGGATCTCTGCAGATGTAACAGATGTACTGCTCTGGAATGCTGTCCTCCAGCAGTCCCATGCATACACTGTGCTGCCAACACAAGCATTCTTCACACTGATGTCAGAAAAAAAAAAACAACAACAAAAGCAAAAACTAAAACTGAGACAAGTAGATGCAAAAACCCAGGAGCTACTTCTTGAATCATCAAATGCAGAGAACAGCACTTTAATTTAAATAGCTGGTTTGAGCAAGATTATTTTAGCTGGGCAATTTGTGTTTGGGTAGACAAAGACATCAAGCTAAAAAAAGAGCTCTAGATCTGAAAGTTACCTCAACCACAAACTCCAGACTGGAAAAAAAAAAAAAAGCAACTGAAGATGTAATATTAAATAGTATTTTATTACAACATTCAGTATTTTAGCACCTACATATTTAGTAGTGAAACATAAGACAGGAGTATAATATTATAGTAAAGTAGAAAGATAATGTAATACATTACAGCATAACAGTGAAAAGTAGAAAACTCTTCAGTTTAATTATTTATATTTACAAAGCATCTCTCCAGTGCGCTAGAAAGATGTGCTTTTAATATCGCACCAATGGAAAATCTAAAAGAAAAAGAAAATTAAGAGAAAATGAAAGAGGAGAAACAAGAGAATAGGAGAGCAAAATAGAAGTGGTAAGACATGAGAGCCTAAAACCAGCAAACTGGTTGCTCTCAGTGAAATAAGCATGAAGAGGAAAAATCAGGCTGCCGCTGGACTTCAAAAACAGGCAGGAAACTACCTCTTATAAAGATGCTTCCCTTTCTCAACTCTGTACTTGCTAGTGTTTTAAATATCTGCTGGCTCACTGCTGAAAATCTCTCCTCTTTGCTTTGACATGCCTTTGAGCATCAAGCTGTTCAAAACACCAACTCACCTTTCCTCCTGTCCCTACAGCTACCGTGTCCCCTCCTGTCTCAAAAGATTGTTACACCAGTCCATTTTTTTGTTATCATAGCTGAACTGCTCAGTTCCTCCAACACAGCACAGTCTTTTAGTCTGCTCCCCGAGACAGCCTGTGTGCCCTTCATTTCCAGGGCTCTGTCAGTTCCAGAACAGTAAGTCTACTAACATATGACAGCCCTACTTTTTCCTTTAAATCTCAACTAAAGAGCTCCATACTATCAACTGGAACTGTACCACAGTAGTAGTTGAATACAAACCTGATTTTGAATGGGGGTAAAAAACACAGCAGGTCATGACCTTTTTAAAGTTGTTGACAACTGAGTTCTTCCTTACTGCTTTTTGCATCTGATTTAATCACTGCATTATAAATTGCTTGAGAAAAAATACTTGAAATTACTCATAGATGGGAAACACTCTCCTCATTGGAGTACAAAGTAATAAGCAGCAGGAGTTGCAATCTATCCACACCTGAATGCTGTGCAAACATGGTATACTCTTCTTCACTTTTATCTATACCAAGTTAAGGTGTAAATTCTCAGCAGCTTCTAAAACCTGGTAGTGACACCCAGTGTGAGAAGTGCTGTTCTAAAGATGAAACACACATCACAGTACTGACAGTATTTAGTGTCTGCACGGAGACATGTTGCACACAGAGGAAGGACATTTACAGTGAGCAGAAAGGTTTCTACAAGTGGTACTGCAAAACACAAGGGCCAAGCCAGGAGGGCTCGTAAAATCAGGGTGGTCTGGGGAACAGAAGCAGAATGGTTTGTGTGCAGCCAAGGATACTTTATTCCAAATTTATCAGCTGGCTATAAAGGTTACCCAGCAATTTGTCCTATGTATCAAATTGCTAGAGAAACCCCATCCTAGAGAAACAGCTCTGCATCCACTGAACAGAGCCAAACCAAGTGCAGAACAAAGAAATATTTTGTTCTTGTTCACTTATGTACAGCTCTCTACACAATTCCAGTCTGTGACACATCAAAAGGGCACCTTCACAAGCAAAACATTCGCATGGGAAATGTAACTCCACACACCAAACTTCTTTACCTGAATCATAAAGCCATTTTCTTCATCAAGTTCACAAATGCATCTAACAATTTCATTGAGAGCATCATCTTCATCCTGAGACTCTTCAAAGTTGGTTGAATCAAAATCCTGATTGTATTCATCACCACTAAGTAACAAACTCTCTGTGGAAGAATCATCCAAGAACTCCACATCTGAAAGGTCTAATAGAAATAAACACATGTGAAACTGTGCGGAGAGACACAACAATTGAAAGAAATACAGGGAGCTTTGACAGGTAAAAATCTTAATCTGCACTAGCAAAAAAAATCACTCTCAAACACACTGCTGATATATGAGATTTCAAGATGAATTCTGCCAAGTGCCTTTAATGTCCTCGCCTCAGATGCAGAGTAGCAACACTTAACCAAAGCAAGTACAATGTAGACCAGCTTGAGGAGTGTAAGCATTTTGATTTAAATAGATGAAGGATAAATCAGTCATCATATTTACAGCTACAATCCCATACATAAACCAAATTATTTCCTTTAAAATTCTCTTTCTTAACAAATTAAACCTACGAACTGAAATTTGGTGTTCATTCAACCTACTTTCTCCACTAAGGTCAACAGACAGGATAGCTCTTGGATACTGGTATGAAGTGTTCTTCTCTGAGAACATACTGCGCAACGTCAGGGAGCTGCCCGAGGACCGCGTCAAGGGAGAGGAGCACCTGTCCAGGAATTCAACAGAACTGTCTTCATAATCCGAGTAATCTGAAATGTTGAAAGAAAAGAAGTCACTCTTACAAAAGTAAAATTTATAACAAATGTAAAAAAAAATAATTGCGTATAGATTTTACTGCAGCATTATGTTGACAAGCAAAGACTATCAATGCTGAGGTATCAGAACGATGAAACTGTAAATAAGAAATGGCAAAAGCTCTTGTAACATTTTATTAAAAAATTATAGTAAGAAACATAATCAAGTTTGATAGATAAGCATCACCATTTGTAACTCTGCCACCTCTGAATGTACAGAGGGGTAATTCTTCTTAGAATATTATGCAGTCTTCTTTTTTCCACAATTCATCCTGCACCATCTGCTATCCTTAGAGATGCTGCTGGTGACTCTCTTGCCTTAAGTCTGCTTGCAGCACTACCAGCACTGCTGCCTAGAAGCAACCACAGATGACCCTGCCAGTTTAAGTGATAAAAGCTTGTCTGCACCCCTGCAGAGGAGCACAGGAAGCCCAAAGAAAATTGTCTTTGGATGTTCCCAGGCCCATGTCAGGAGACACCAATGGGCCAAGAAATCCTGGGATGGGCTAGGGAGCATCCCAGAAGAGTATACATACACAGGCCCAAAGGAGGAGGATGAGCAGGCAAACAACCAACACCCCCTGGCCAGGCCCCTCTCAGACCTTCCCAGCAGTGCCATCACCTCCACTGCACAAAACCCATCAGGATGTGTTACCCACAGCAGCTCTCTGGATCATCTTCTGGACTAAGGGCAGCTGCAGCCCAGGGGGCTGCCAGTGGAGGACACTACGGGATGTGGGGGAAAATAATTTTGGGTTTGTGAATGACTTTATGAAATGTTTAGGGAAGAAAATAAAGGTGGGGAAAATGGATGGACTGAAGTGATTTGGGGAAGAACAATTAAGGGCAGAACATGGGAATAACAGGACAAAAAAAAGCCACATATGCATAAAGTTTTGTGGTCAGTATGCTTGCCTGGCCATGCCCGGCATCCAGGCTGTGCTGGCACAGGTTGTAAATCTCCCTCCTTGGAGCCATTGAAAAGTTGTCTGGATATAATCCTGGGCAACCAGGACAAGAGGGTTGGACTATTGCACCTTCAGAGGTCTCTTCCAATCTTGACTAGTCTGTCATTTTTATTAAACCTCATTTCCATCTCTTACCTGGGGAAGGGGCTCTCTATTCAGGGTTCAAGTACACGGTCTGTGTGCCAGCAAATGGAGTAGCCCTGCACGTCAAAGGGTCCACGTGTCTGTGGTGCCAGCACTCAGAGAGACTGCAGTGACAACAGTGCCAGCCCCATGCCAGGGATCTCTGGTCACAGAGGCCCATGAGCTCATTCTACAGCACCTGCAGCCAGTCCAAGTGTCTGATTGCTTGCATGGATCAAGCTGGACCAGCTGATGAGCAGGTGAAATGGCCTGGGAGCAAGGTGTCAGTGGGTCTGCAAGGGCCAGCTCTGGGTGGAAGTGGCTCTCTAAGCAGGAGAGCTGGGTGGGGGACTCTGGGGACCCAGGGAGTCCTGGCCAACACTGGGAGCGTGTGAGAATGCACAAGGAAGTGAGACTATACTGCAGTGGGGCTGCTGACCCATGAGCTCATATCTGCAGGCACAGAAATTGGAAACACTGGGATCCAGAGGGGCTACTGGGCAGACAGTGTCTGAGCCCACCTGCTGCAGAAATTCCCACTGTACTTACACATCTCTGTGTTATCTTCCTGCTCAGCCAAAGAGAGGAGCAGGATGAGGCTGTCACAGCATACACACAAGAACAGACAACATCACGTGCTTCTGCATTCTGGTCACACAGTGGTACTGACATTTATCTTGATAACCAGCATTGTATCTTTTCCTCTAACAAACTATTTGCAACACTCTCAAGAAACACATTTGGCTGTCCCTAATCACAATGACTGGAGAGCCTGTCCTAGGAAAGTCATGTAATTGCAAATCATTGACCAGTTAGGGTTGGAAGGGACCTTAAAGATCACCCTGTTCACCCCCACCTTCCAGCAGATCAGGTTTTTCAGAGGCCCATTCAACCCAGCTTTCAACACTTCCCGGGATGGGACATCCACTTCTCTGGCAACCCATTCCAGTGGCTCACCACCCCCACAGAAAATAATTTCTTCTGAATATCTAATCTAATATAGATCTACCCTCTTAAAATTATATTACTCCAGTATGAGGATGATAAAGCACACAAAACCTACAATACTGCAATTCACACTAAAGCACTGCATGATCTGGAAGCATTTTCATGTTATAGCACAAATTCTGGACAGAGAAACACATAATCCACAAAATACAATCCCCATTTGTCAAGGCAGCAGACAAGGCTGTTATAACAGAGACACCAGCCTCAGCTGTGAAGGGTTAACTGTCAAAGAGGGGGTGCATTGCATACAGCAAACCACTGAAAAGTAGCAACAAACTAGACACTAGACTGATTTTACTGTCCAAGCAAAACAGGTATGACATGTATACAGAGCTTCAAATGAAGAATTTAAAGAGATGAAAACAACATGCTTATCTTTTTTAAAGAAGATAAAAAACCTGTGAAATATGTGTGCCTATCACATAGAGAGAGACAGGCTATAAATGCAAGAAAAAAAAGTCCCAAGGGTCCTTTTCATATTTAAAGCTAAAAATTACTCTTGGACATTTCTAAAATTTTACAACCATATTGTTTACAAACAAGTTTTACTATCTAATGATAGAAATAGACTGGGTGGTTTTACTTACTTTAAAAAAATATAAATTGAACTTACCATGCTGTTTTGATTTCTTCTTTTTTTTCTTCTTCTTTTTCTGTTTTGGTTTATGATCTTTTTCCTTCTTTTCCTTTTTCTCCTTTTCTTTTTCTTTCTTTTTACCTGAAATAAAAATTAAAAAATTTAAAGCAGCTTAGTCGAAACAAGGCATTCGAAATCAAGTGCTCTAGTTGTCTAGTCAGATCAAAATGATTCACTTAATTTAATTGATATCTTGGACATACCTCTTAACTGCTGGTATAACACTTCAAAGAAATCTCATTTGACAAATAATATTTTATCATTTAAGTATTTCCAAGTAAGATATCAAGGCAGAAAAAATACAGCTAAGTACACAAAATATGTAACATCATATAGATAGCTTATAACTTCTATTTTACTTACAGTTTATAATAAAAACATTTGGGCAAGAGAAATAGCTTTCATAAGGGTAAAATTCCCAATTATAAGGGTTACATTGTCCTACAAACACATGTTAGGCCTACAGAAAGACATTTGAAGGAAATTTCACTATCAGAGTGCTGCTGTCAGCACTCTGCGCTACATAGCAGCATCCTCTCAGAAAACTCACTCTGACTTAAATTTGACACAATTTTTATGCTGCAGTTCACTTTTAACCACTGTTGGTATACAGATGAGGACAAGCACTTTGACTTTGAAAGATTTTTTTTATCCTGTTAATTCTCCCTAGACAAAATACATCCCACATTTTCACTCCACAATAACTTCTTAAGTTATCAGCAGTGAGGAAAATAACAAGGAAATTAACTTCTTAGAAAACATAAGCCTCAAAGCCAGGATTGTTTCCTACACACAAACTGGAGCAGTCTTATCTTCTTGGGGAACACAGAGACAAAGCTTCTACCTCCTGGAAAAACAAAGTAGAATCACCTCTCAATTCTTGCCAGTCGCTAGTAACTTATTTTATTTTGAACACAGGACAAAAACAGAGTCCTCTTAATCTGTATTTTATTTCATGAATTGCCAAATGTTTTGCTAATAACCCTTGTTTGCTCTTCTCAACTCAAATCTGACAGTACAATAAAGTAGACAGTATTACTCATTCTACTGAGAAAAACCCCAATCAAATGAAAAATCAGAGGCAATGGGCCTTTGCATAGATATTTTAGGATCCTTCAAACTCCTTGCTATGGGCACTTACATTTTATCTTATAAATTATTCTTCTCTTACAAACCTGTCATATGCATAAAAACTATTTTTAGGACCTTAACAAACAAAACAAACAAAAACTGCAGCTGGGCCCAGGAAATATTTTATGCTTTTACATTTGCTCTTCAGAAACAGGAAGTGTTAGAGAATTTTTCTTTTTTTTGTAAAAATAATATTGCTCTCTACATACCATATGCTGAAGAACTTTTCTCTTCCAGTTTTCCTTTCCTTTCCATTCTAGCTGCACCTGCAAATTGAAGAATGTATCACATGAGGCCAGTGTCTGGCTGATGACCTAATTTCTTGTAAAAGTCATTAGACTGTAAAAAATCCTAACGGCACACAATATTAAGAAACATACAAACAAAACAATTATTTTTAATGTCATTTTACAATTATTTTTATTTTCTAAAGCACTGGAAACAAAAAGTATTGTAGTTTACCAACTTCTGAATGCTTGTCCTTCTCAATCACGTTCTTTAATATTTTCTCCTTCAGACTCTCAAAACATTTCTCCTTTATGGGCACAGAGCACTGTATCTCTGTCCCTTCAGAGCTCACTGAAGTGGAAGACCTCTTTTTTTTACTATTCCCTTTGGGTAACTTGAGACTATTGGTTAAAGGCATTTCCAGATGTAAGGCATGTACATGGGACGAGGGTGCTGAAAACAAGAAGATGGATTTACTCGGCATTCCATAAGGATTGCAGCCAGCCAGGGCTGCGTCAGATCACTGAAATGTCAATACTGCTCATACCACCATCACATTTAACAGATCATTACTGCACATGAATGCCTAGATCTTAGTCTTACATACAAGACAATACATGGCACAGAAGGTTTCTAACTATATTTTGGAAATTTGCATTCACTTTTAAACTATCTCTACTGGTTAAAATGTACTTTTTGCTGACACTGTTAAGACTTTTTGTTTCCTTTTATTTTTTTCATTGTAATAGGAACCCATGACAAAAGTAACAGGTGCTGACACTGTCACTATCATTTAAGTTAATGCTCCATTATGCTAACAGAGAAATTAAGCTCTGGTACAGTATTTGTTGTCCTATGTACAAAAAAAATATGTATAACATTTCTGCTCATTGAATTTTTCGTTGATTTTAATAATATTTAAATAATTCACTTTCTTTTATTAATCCACATTTAAATAAAATGTAAAAGTACCATGACTTGTCAGAATTCAGCATCATATACTGACAAGTCTTATCCTGCACTATTTAGAAAAGTTTATTCAGTGAAATATTTAGTTGTTATTTTAGTTCTTTATCTGGTGCAAGTTAGGAAGTAACAAACTGTAAACAAAGCAAAACTGAAATTACAATTTTCACTGCTAATATTTATAATAATTTTCAAGTAATCAAACTAGAATAAAAGTTATTTATAAAGAACATTATTAAGTAATTCAAAACTCTCTGTTACTGTGTCCATCAATATTGTTAGAGCTTCAAGATTCATCAAATTGTAATTAGGAAAGTCTAATTTTCATCAGATCCTTGGTCCATTTTAGGACCACGCCAAGGACATATTGTACAAAAATGCAGCTCTGTGAAGTCATAAAGGGCTCAGGTTTTTCTGTGCCAGCTGTAAAAAGTTGGAGGCACCCATTACCTTCGGTGTCCCTCAACAGAAGAGCCCAACAAAATCATAAGCAAGTAAAAAAAAAGTCCTGAAAAATACCTGCTATTGGCCAAGATATTCAACAAGACAAAATATGGAAGTGATCTAGAATGCATTAAAGAAGCAGCATTAAGATAATTTATTAAATTCATCAGTCACAAAAAGATTCTGAGGAAGAGGCAAGAACAACTCAAGGCTGCCCAGCAGGAACAGACCGACCCAATTCAACTGGAATACAACACACAACACCTGCTCCCACTGCTGAGCCCTCCTGGGAACACAACCACAATGCCACCAGCTGGAAAGCTGAAGGGCCAGCAAGAACAATGGAAAGTGGTGCCTCAGCTCTCACAGCACGCAGCACCTTTAAGTGCCAGGTGTCCCCAGCTGCAGGACAGCTCTGCGCTGTGCAACCCAGGCAGCAGCAGCTGCTCAGCTCTGTGTGCTGGCTCCTGCCACACAGCACGAGCTGCACAGCCATACCTGGGGCTACCTGACTCTTCCCACTGCCTCAAATCAACCATCTCACCTAAGAGCATAATCCTTTTAAGACCGACTCAGGCTCTTGCCTATGTCTGTATTTCAAGTGCATTAAGCTTGCTGGAATACTTATCATTGACACAAAACACTATCCAAATTACTGCTTTCTCAGATTTCCTAATTACCATTTGTCTCTGTTACAGGACTGAACTGCTCTGCCATCTGTAGAGCAATAAGTATATTTTAGCACATTAGTAAAAGAAAAATGTGACACTTTCCCACATCATCATGCTATCAACGTCTTGTCTCATTTCTAAAAAGAGCTCAAAAGGAGCACCCAAATGCACGTAATTCATTTAGGTCACTGCCATTTTGATGGAAAGATGTGAGAACGCTCCATCCAAACAATCTCAAGAGAAATTTAGTTTCAACGTTAGATCAATTTGTATTTAATCTTTATTATTGAGAAGAAATCCTGACCTGACATCCAAATATGATTTAATATTAACAGTGACAATACAACAGATTTAGGTGTCTCAAAAATTTTCAACACAAGCACATCTGACAAAGTGCTTAGTAACTGCTTGAGGGAACACTTATATTGGGCAGAAATCTCTCCAGTCAGGCAAATACCCATCCTGCTGTCAGAACTCCCCAAACTGCCTTTCTGTAGTAACTTGAAAATATAAACTTCTATTATGTCTCTATACATTGCAATGTTATTCTTGGCTTTTACTTTTCTTCATTGAAAACCATTTTAGGTAAAGAATCTTAAATTCTCAAATCCTACATAAAGTGTCAAAGCTTGCAAACTCTGCTTTTCAACTGTGCAATCACTATGCCTTACACATAACCACAAAATTGGACAAGGTGGTCAGTCAGAAGTAACAAATACAACCAGGAAATATTAGTTTCTTTCTTTTTTTTTTTTTTGAACTGCTACTTTTAATTGTAATTTTATTCCTGTTAAGGAGTCTAGCCAGCCACCTCCCACACAGTGAGTGGGAGGTCTGCAGTTAACACTCGGCACAGAGAAAGACGACCAGAGATTAGACTTGGTAAACTTCTGATTTTGTCACCATTCCAGAATCAATTTTATCACTAGAAGACTAATTTCAGATTAAAAAGAAATGCAAACCACAGCATTCCCAGTCCAGTTTATAACATGCTTCCAGTTCTACTTGTCCTGTTACAGAAGAGAGAAGTAACACAAGCCCCCTCATGCAAGTACAGGCACAGGACAGGATGTTGTGCCACAAGTACAACAGCAAAACTGGGCTTGCAGTGGTACTGCATATTGCAATTCATCAAGCTCAAATGAATTGTAGCAATCTGAAGCAATTTATTTTGTTGACTGATATTCTATTTCATGGCTTTCCATGTTTAAAATAATATCATAAATATCATTATCTGCATTAATAAACAACTTAAATCATATTGCAATAGAAATATAAATCATGCTGGTCATGTTTAATTTAGTGCTTTGAATTTCCAGTGCATAGGATCAATTTTATATCTAAACAGATTTTTAATTGCACATCACACATTAACACTGGAATCCTGCCCAAAATTATGTCTTTAGGAAGAATAAGCTGATAAAACAGTTCTTGCTTGCCTCATGACCAGCCCAAATTGGGAACTTCAGGGCAGAGATTAGAATGGCAGGCATTCAAATTAGGGAGTAAATTTGACTGTTAATAGATGGTTGAAGCAAAACAAACAGCAACAAAGTAACATGAGAAAGTGACAAGATGAACAATAGTTTATCCCTCTTAAAAGCAAGGTCAACCAGAAACACTGGCAAGAGTTTTTAAAAAGCGACCAACCTAATTTTCTGAAAATTTTGTACATCAGCTGTTTCTTGCTCCTGCTGCAGTAAACTGTTACCAAGGAAATTATATAAAAGTATGCAGTGTTTCTTTTCTTTTAGTCTTAAATTCAAATTTCTCCCATATAGTTAACGTAACGTTACCCCACCAGCAAAATCATCTATCATCTGTCTATCATCTATAGCAGCTAGTGATAATATTGTTATATCAGCATTACAAATATTATATTGTTAGATTAGGAAGTGTAACAATATTTTTCTTTTACTTAAATTTCAAAACCCAGATTGCTTGCTGAAATTATGTTTGCTCAATATTTAACAGTTAAGGTAACATAAATGGTGCAGGGTTACAAAAGCCAAGAGAAAAGATCACAAATTTAAAGAGAAGCACAACTAGAGAAAGACCTAAACGTCAATGTATTCAGAATGGCAAAACTACTGTGCTTTGCAAATATTCTGATTGACTGTGGATTTAAAATCTTTGAAATGCTAAAGTGATCAAACGCCAATTATTTGCATTTTAATTAATTTGGCAAAAGAAAGCAAAGATTTTTAGTTATGTGTGTGCAATACCAGGTGATCACAAGTAGGACCTCACAATAGTGGAGTAAAGCAGTATCTCTGTTCAATAACTACTGGGTAGTGTACAGGTGTCTACCCAAGGGCACAGTACTTCCATGGAGACTTTGGATTGAAGGAATTATCACAGAGCTTTTGTTTTGCCTCTACAAAATGTTAAGGTGTTCAATTTGAGCAATGAAATCTATGTGCTAACACTATGAGCTGCTATTTATGCATTGGCACTTCAGTGTACCTAGTCCCTCTCCTCTGAAAATACCATGTCAGTACTTTCTGAACAAAGTCACTAAAATGCATAATTTTTAACACCACCAAATTATTTTTTTCAATTGACTCAACTGATAGCCTCCATCAGAAGTCACAGTGTGCAACATCACAAACCTCTGGGCTTAAACCAGCTCAGTTCTGTTACAGAAGGATTATGGATCAGACCAGGCTGTTCCAGGCTAAATACCATTGTGAGGTATCTCTGAAACTATACACATTATCTACTTCAATTATTGCAAAGACAGCAGGTCTAACTTAAGTGCACTTAACAGAATCTGTAGCGATGTCAAAATCTAGAACTCCAAATATGTCCATTCTGTGTTAATAAAATCTTAGCAGCAGAACTACCATAAACAGATGCAGATTTATAATAGTTTTTTCAGATAAAGAAAACACAATTACAGAATAATTTGGATTTTACACCAGCGTTCTCAATTTGTAATGGATAGGGTCACAATGCATACATTTAAACAATGCAGTGTATTAAACTGCACTTAGGTAGATATTTCTGCATAATGCAAATTAACTTTTCTCAATTATTTCAAGAATTGACAGGAATGAGAAAGGAAAGCTTTGGGCACCTCTCTTGTATCTATTTGCTTGCTAGTGTTTAAACAGATAATGAAAAAATATTGATAAATAGAGTGGATCCCATTTATTTTCCTGAAGCATGCAAGAATTTGGTGTAATTATGTGTGCTTCAGGAATGTGACTTGAGAACCTGTGATGTTTCAAAGGCAAAATGATGCCTTCTAAAGCAGAGAATACTACAAATTTATTCAGTATTGTAGACTAATTCCAGATGTCTCAAACCTCAACTTTAAATTTACATTTTTCTTTTTCTTCTAAGATTATGAGGATAAACATGCTCTACCAGAGTTAGAAGACTAGGATGAACCCCAAACACATGTGAATTTTACTTATAGAGTCCTAGTGATATCACTGACAGAGGCAGATAACTCCAAAACCTGCAATGACATCTGTGAATTAAAGATATCAAACTGCTTAGTTTAGTCTTTCTGGCCACAAAGCTGATACTCAAAGAGCTGTTGGGCTACATACTGCAACCTACTGAAAACGTGTAACATTCTGACAGAAAGTCAGGATGAAATCTCAAGACACATTTATTGCATGACGGAAAACTATAATACATGAAAATTAGGAACAAAACACATGAGCCTGGAAGGTAAAAACTTATAAGACAAAAAATGTACCTGGCAAATCAGTTCCTTTAGAGCTTTTAACTCTTAAAATTACATAGATATGAAAGAGGGCTCATTAAACTTTATATACAGTATAAACTCTATGGTGTGGTAGAGTTTGCAAGCACTTCTGGCTTCCCAATATGGACTCAAGTAGTAACAGACAACATGGAATTTTTCCCTGACACAAATTGTGTGGACATGTCACATAATTCTGAGTCATTAAATCATGGTGGGTCTAAATAAAACTTATTCTTTCTTTTATTGCTTCACCTGTGGCCAAGACCGAGACCCAGTTCAACAAGTATGTCCAAAGTGCACTCCTGAGTGCTGGGTTGAGAACCAGATCAATCTGCCCTGAGCCAGGCCTATGACAGGAGCAGGCAACTTTCAGCATTACCAACTATACATAAAATGAGCTACAAAATATATCAGAAAAACCAGAAGATAAATTTCTAGTAACTGAAATGAGTTTTACCAAACAGGCAACAGATGGCTGTTGGAAGCTGTTGATTTCTTTTATGATCTTGTTCAATGAGTGGGCAAATACAAAACTCACAAAAGCACTTCTCTTAGTGGCAGTAGACATGACATAAAAACGACTTTTATAGAAGTAATTTTCCCAGGAAACTGTAATTCTGCTGCTATGCCATATATTAAGGGCAAAGGAAGACTGTCACATGGTTTCACTCAAGTAATTAAGCAGTATTTTAATATTTTAAAAAGCTTAAGTGGTGGCTCACTAGAGATACCCACAGCCCTTATTTTGACAAATTAGTGTAAGAGATTCATAGATTAATAGACCAAGATACAATTTAACTGTCATAACTCTATCTTTTAAGGTCATGCTGTCCTCCCTTACTATCAATCACATTTATCAAAAATTTTCTGAGCATAATATAATAATTTGATTTTTTTCCCCTCTTCCTACTTTTCTGAACAATTTTCTCATGAATCAAAACAAAACAGAAAAAGGCTTTAAAAGAATTCTTTCTCAGAAGCCAGTTAAAAATGGTATAATATCCACATATAAAAAATTCTATAAACATCTAGCCTTATAAAAAATTCTATAAACACCTAGCATACACTGGATGAAAACATCCCACTCTTAGGGTCTGCTGCTCCCACTTCGTAAATTCTTCCCCAGATTTCTCGGTTACCTCCATCCAAGTAGTAAGTAAGTAATCAGTAAGCTCTTACAAAAGAAGAGGCAGCCCAGAGCTGCAGCACTGGGCTCTGTGCTGAGGCTGACCAAGTCTATATAAAAGTTTTTGAGGATTTTTCAGAAATATTTTTAAGTAACATTTTGCAGCAAGCGAAGGATAGAATTTCCACTGCAGAGACGAAAAGCAGAGGAATGCTGACTGTCTTTGAGAACAGTACTGTTTTAAAGCTGAAGCCACAAATTAGTATGTTAGTAAAGACTTCACTTTGTTAATTATTTTTACAACTTTTAGCAATAGCAAAAATATTTTTGAAATACTGCTTACTACATTCCACACTCTCACATTCTCATTATATTATGTTAGAAGTGCCAAAGCAGCCCTAAGCCAGTGAAGACAAAGAATATGCAGATGAGTGGAGTCCAGAAGAGAGGCAAGTTTTTGAGTGTGCAGAAAAGAAAATAAAAAGCATCCCCTCTTTCTGTGGGATGGAATACACACACATTTTAACCCTACAAGTATAAATCTCTCTGGTTGTATACTGAATCTCTTTACCTGACGCTGTTGTAGCTACTCTTCCATCAGTTACTGCTTTGGAAGAAAGATATGTAATCATCTGAATATCTTCCTTGTCTTTACTGGAATATTCATTATGGAAAGTGGATTCTGCGGATAATGGTGCTGTAACTTCCGAACTACGGCTTAAATCAAGAGGGAGACATGGTCCACGCTTCTCAAGTGGCACATGAGCAACATCAGGTACTACATAAAAGAAAAAATGTCATATTAAAAAAGACACAAGGGTCCAACAATAAAGTCTGGATTGCAGCGTTATATAACATAGGAACAGCAAACAGCTTTAGCTACAGCAGTTCAAAATATCCCATTAGTTGAAAACCATGAAAGGTCTAACTTTTATGATTCAATTTCTCTTGGGCAGTTCTTTATTAGATTAAGATACATTACCCTCCAATTTTGATGACTGTTGGTTTTGACCACTGATGGAGAACACTTTTCCATCAGTAACTGAAGAGGGAGAAGAAACTTTTTCTAGAGAATCATCAGGCAAGGAGCAAGTGGCTAAACGCTGTGATCTTCTTCTCCGTTGGCTATGTTTGTAGGATCTAGGGGAATTCACTGGCTGTGATGGACCTAAAAAGAGATCTTTCAATGTTCATGAAGCAGAGAGATACACCATCATCTTACCGCAGCATTTGAGATGTAAAGATGGGGAGTGCTTTTAATAGCTCTTATTTGTAAAGCTGGTAATCACAGCCAAACTGGTAAAAGTAATTACAGAACTGTGACTACTAGGAGCAAAGAAAGGTTTATGCTCAAGACATGATTCTGGTTTTTGCTTATTATAAATTACTAGGGCACCTACTTCCCCACTGTAAAGGTGATTGTTTTAGGCAAGCAGTGTATTTACAGTAAGCAACCCTCCCCATAAAACCCAGGCAGCAGGTTACTTAGAATGGAAGGGGGGCAATAAGATTTAACAATAAACAGAACAAATGATCACAGTTAAAAGATCTAAAAAGTCATGGATAGTGTTAACATACAACTTAAAAAAAATAACTGAAAACAGTGTTTAATTTTATATCCCACCTCCTGCCTTCTGATAACCTGATATCAATACCCCAACTGAAATTCAAACACACACTGCCAATGCGTGGCACAGTAAGAAGGCTCCAGAACTTTATACTTAAAAAAACTGAACAAATGGGAGAGGAGGACTGATATAGGTTAATATAGGCCTGATTCATTAAAAACAAAAAACCCACATTCCCCTACCTCTTTTCAGTATTAACCAGTTCCACAAAATTTTGCCTTAGAGAAACATTTAAGTTACTATTACACTGTAAATCACTGCTCTCTCCTTTCTGTAAGCAGTTTTTAGAGACAGGTATACAGATTTAAAAATTAGGACACAGCAAAACTAACTTTCCACTAGAGGTAGAAAAAAGTTGGAAGCCAAAGATTAAAGACAACACTAACAAGATCTAAGCTACTAAGTAACCAAGTTTTAAGTTATCTGGTTTTAAAAAAAAATTGCTACAGAAAAGTCCAACTTAATCCAAAATAAAAGCATGCTTCAGGAAAGCTACTTACCATTGCTCTAGGGGTGGGGATTGAAGGCATATTACAATATGGATGACTGCTAACATTTTGCGGGGACAAAATACAATTTTTACCAATGTGTCCTGAATAAAGAAGGCTGAATTTACACTCCTCCCTCTCCCACTCATTTAAAGTTATCTATGAGCAAAGATTAAAAAGAAACTTATCTCATAAGTGAAACTACAAAATCAAGGTTGAGGGGAACACATGATGCAGGATGAGTCTTCCATCCTCAATCACTATACTAAAATGAAAAAAAAAAGTAGCTTTTGACTTAACTGAAACCTGCATTTATGTTAACCTCTGGCCTTATCGTGTAATATTCTTTAGGCAAAGAATCTGGCAGTAAGCAACACTAAAAAACCTAATGTAATCTCAAAAAAAAATCATAGAAATACCTTAATATTCACAAAAAAACAGCATATTCAAGCATGCAACATAAAGCTTTCCCTGTTCTTCTGATAAACAGTATTTTTGTGCTTGGCAAATCAGTTGCACTTTAAGAAGATGAACACCCATGGAATTTTTCTGGGACAAGGAAACACAATTTGCAATATTTTTCCACCACAGATCTTGAACCCATCTTCTCTTTCACATCGTGTTTGGAGGAAATATCACATAAGGTGACGAATGGCACAGCCAACAGGTACAGAACATCAGCCTGCTGAAGGTGAAGTTTCAGAGAAGGAAAGGTCCACACCAAAGTGTATGTCTTTTCTTTTTAATGAATCAGGCCCTTTTCAGAAGGGAGGTTTGATTTTTCCTGTATCACTGTTAATGCTAGTGTGGAGATTTAAGCTAGAGGGAAAGCCAACCCTTAAAAGCCATGACTCTATAAATATCAAGATATTATTTAAATGTATTATTTATGGTAGAGTATTATGTGACTTGACTTTTAAAATAGTGAGCTACCCCTAATTCTCCCACTTGGACATTTTATTTAAAGCAGATTCATTTTTAAAAGCAATAGCCATTTACAACCAAAGAAAATTTCTGTATATGTCTTAGAAGTAGTTACGGTATTTTTTTTAAAATGTCTGTGCTCACTAGTTTTATTTATCACAGAAGAAGGAAGCTGAGAGACCAGCGTCAAATCCTCGACTTGTATTAATTCTGGGGAAAGTGGTGATTTAGGGGGCTTTATACACCCGGAAGAATCTCCAGATTCTTGTTTGCATTTCTTGCTGCGAGCCTTTCCTGAAGACAAAGTTGAGGATAACAGTGCAGGTTTCTGAATGCTGGCAGAACTGCTAATATCAGCTTCATTTTTTTTCTGACTTTGTGGTTTAGGTGAAATCTCCTGAATAAATAATAAAAAATTGATACTTTTATTTCAGTTTCTTCGTTGTAGTTCTTGTATTCTATTTTGATCTTTTTAAAAGCAATTTTAGTACTCAAACACATAATAAAGCAACATTATTTTAAGTACAAATGAAAACTATTTAAAATGCATCATATTAAATTTTGCTTTTTTTAAAGGAGCACTACCAATTTTTTTCAGTATTCAGACTACTCAATTCGTACTATTTGAAATACCTACAAAAAACCTGAAAACAAAACATTTCCCCGCTAATTCCAATTTAAAAATTCAATACAGTATTTTTAGTTTTCTCCTTCATCGTCACTGTCAGTGCAGTCTCCGAGCAGAACCTGGAGAGCATCCCTTCCCAGCCAGACCACACACACTGACGCACCATCACAGAACATCTCATGCTGGAAGGGACCCAGAAGGATCCTCAAGTCCTCCTCTCCCTGCTCCTCACAGGGTGCCTGCTGCTGAATCATGACTGGGACAATTGTCCTTAAACTCTGGCACTGCTATGAGCAAACAATCCTTCCTCAGAAGGATTGCAGCTCTAAAGAAAGTTGCCAAGATTTTCCCTACACAGTCATTTCCCCTTCCCGAGGGAAAAAAAAAAAAAAAAAAAAAAAAAAAAAAAAAAAAAAAAAAAGGCAGTTCCTCAGGAAAATTCTATCTAACAAGGAATTTGTATCTTTGAGAAACTGAAAAAGTTGATAATGCTCCTTTAAGGAATGTCTGAAACAATGAGAAGTTTCCAATACTGAGCACACTCTCGCACAACCCCTTTCAGTGCTGGGAGTCTGGATTTCACCACATTATATATTTGTGCAAACATGAAGAAATCACAACTTCTAGCACCACAGGGTTAAACAGATTGCTAACTGTCAGGGGAAAATTGGCAGATGAGGAGTTAAAACAGTTTTTGAAGGAAAAGAAGTCAACATATAATGCATCTTTCCAAATTCCTCAATTTTCATCCTTCTTAACACAAACAGTACTATTTTTAGACCATTAGCATGCATTGACAGACATTAGCACTTGAAATTTTTCACTGGAAGTTCTTCCTACATTACCAAAACTGTGCATGTGTTACAACTTGCCTAATAAGGCAATATCTGAATATAATTTCTTAGGCCTGTCTCCCTTCTCATCCCAGTTACATCATACAGCATAGTGACATCTAATAAAACCATAACTAACAAAGCAGAAAGATATTTCTAGAACACGTGCACCACTTTATCAAAACTAGAAACATCACATCTCTGGTGAGTTGAGGGTATTATTGAGTTTTCATATAAATTGCAGTTTTATTTTCCACTAGAACTTCCCATGTTCCAATGGAGGAAAACGAAAAAAAAAGCAAAACAAAACCCCACAAGTGCACATTCTACATCTGTAAAAGGGTGCCCCTGAATTCTACATGAACGGCTCACTGGGAGTATCCTGTAAAGATCCGGTGCAAAATATCCCATGCAGCAGACATCAGTTCTACCTTGCATAACTCCATTACACACATACTAAGTGCAGTTTATTCATTTAAATAAAATATTCCATGAACTGTAGAGTATACCTATACTGGTTATGAGATGTAGTATCAGAAATTAATTAGAGTCGTAACTTGTAAATAAACAATTTTATTGTTCATCTTCACAGATGTGAAAGACATACTACAGCATCCATTACTTTCAAATTACAAAGTTATTTAAACAAGATTAAAAAAATTAAATTAAGATTTTGATAAGGTGCTTAACCTCTTAACAGGACAAATTAACATTAAAAACCTTAATGAATTAATGTTATCCATCTACTCAGGTCTTGGTCAAAAGGAAATATAACATGACATACCCTAATACAATTAAATAAACTACTGTATCTGCAACTAATCATCTGAGGTTTTGGGTTTAAGACAACTGTAAACTAAAAATGTATAAATATAAACAAAAATTTGCATCAACAGAATCAGTTTTCGGCTATTGGCCTGAATATTTCTACCATATTCTGCATTACATTATTAAAAAAATCCTACAAGATACTTTATCCATTCAATTTTATAGCAGTAGCAGACAAAGCCTCTGAGGAATGTCAGCTTCACTATTGGAAAACCGTTTGGGGAGGTTTATAACTTGGCCATTTTAATTTCACTTTGCACAGGAACTCAGTGAAAAAAAGCTTTAAGCTCAAAAAATTTCCTCCCCACAGTCAATCGTTTAAATGTTTGTGAGGTTTCTGGTTTTAGTTATACACAAAAGAATAGGACTATTTGGGATTTTAGATGCCTCTTTAAAAGAGCTTAACTGTTATTTCCAAAAAATGAGGTTTTTCAGACCATTAGCATGTAAACAATGACAGAGACATCTTGTTTTTTATATCTGATCAATAAAACAGGAACAGCCGAGTTACTAAGTCTGAGAAATAACAAAAAGGTTATAGTAAATATGCACTGCAGTTTATACTGTTGCATACACAGTCTATGTAAACCACAAAGTCCCATTCACCGCAATGGGATTCTGCATGGCAAGATTTACATTGTAATGATTCTCCCAAAAACAACATGCTGTAAGCCATTTCACAGTTTTTTGCACATTGAAAATATCACACACAGTAGCAAGAAAATCATAGCATCTTTAATATGCAAAAATTTGAGAAATGGAATGTCATGTCAGTACACTGTAAACCTTTATGCAAAATATCGGTCAATGCATCGGCACCGCAGTGGCTCCACCAGCCCTGACAGTGACAGCATCAAAAACAGAAAATCAGGTTCAATTGACTCTCATCCAATGCAGCATCAATGGAAAAACCAGAGCAATGCAATTATATATCAGCTCTAAAGAACCAGTACAACCAAAATACCAAATCAGGTTTGGGGTAGGGACTGATCATAGAGTGTGCCGAGCTAAAGAACAGAAGTGCTTGTTAAAGAATTGCAGGCAGCAAGGCTACTTCATTCAAATGCTGCTGTTAAAGAATGAAAATGCATACAAAAAAGCTGTATTAAAGATACATTAAGGCTCTGATTTAAATAATTGGAAAACAAAGATGTCCTGAATCAAGACCACTGTTCATCCTTAGCTTGCTTTACCATGCTCAGGCATTCAGCCCTTTTAAAATGCAAGATAATGCACAACTCGGAGTCAAGCAATGCCTGAACACGGCACAATAAGCCAAAGACAAAATGGCAGCCTCCAGATCCTGCCAATAAGCAGGTTTAAAAATCAGACCCTTAACATTATTTAAAAGTTTCTTTTTTGTATTTATTAAAATACACACTCTTGCAAAATGTATGGCTCATTGAGCAGTTCATAAAACACATACAAGCCTACAACACCAAATTCTTACAATATAAAAGAAACTTCTTTTAAAAGAAGTTCTAAGTGATGTCAAAAACCCTGTTTCAAACACAAATCAAATTTGTGTAAGGGCCTGTTTCTAAGCCAGTTGTCATTCCAGCTATAAAACTGGACCTTGGGACACTGGTCTCCTCATATTTTTTACACGGAGACTTTATTTTGTTTTCTGTTAGTTTTCTAACACAAAAGCTCGTTATTGAAATTCAAGTTAACACTGTGTTTAGAGACAATTAAATTCCATACTTCTGGATCTGCCAGAAATGTAAACATAAGATAAATTTTCAGTTCCCTGTTATATCTGAAGGGGAAAATTTTTATGTTGTAGGTACTACATCTCCATGGCACACTCCAGTGGGAACTTTGCAAAAGAATCAAACTCTACCATTTCATACCTGCTCCAGGACTGGAGCTGTTTCTTTGTTGCCTTCCTTTTTTTCAGCACCATCTGCAACAACAGCTTTGGATGCCAATAAACCTTAGGAGAAAAGTTGCAGATATTTTTAGTTAGAAGTACCTTGCAACAAGAATTCATAGAGAAATAAGTAAAATATTGAGACAAGAAATATGAACTGCACAAATCTACAAAATAAGGAAATGGCTTTCTGAAATGGTTCCACACAAAGCTGAACACCTTAAATTAGAAGAAACAAAAAGTTAAAGGACATCCCAACAATGGCATGCTTACATAGGAAGCACTTCTTTGGCATATTTACTGACAAGAAGAAAACCAAATTATCAATTCTAAAATAAAGCTTTGACATTCTTCCAAAGCCCAAGCACTTGAGCTTTAAAACCAAATACATGATACGTAAATTAATCTTGAAATCAGAATTATTTACAAAACTTTTCTCTCTCCTCTTTCCAGTCTTTGGGAAATTTACATCAGAATTTGTATTACCACTTCTTAATTAAAACACATGCAAACCTTTCTTAGGCATAATACAACCAAGAATTTTAATTTCCAAACAAATATTCTCAACAGTGGAGCTCCCAGATTACCTCAATAAGATTACCATATTGGGAGCAAATAACATATGACAATATGTAATTTCATTCACCAACTTATGTAAAATAGCATTACTACAAAAAATCTGGAAAGACAAGGGGAATAAAAATACAAGAAAGCTTTCTGTCAGCGAAATATGGCAATAACTTCAGTTGTACCTCACACAATAACTTTAATTGCCTAACAATGCAGAAACAGAAGTTCTATACCATTAAGAAAATACAGAACTAATAAAACCCAAAAAACCAAATCTGAATAAAAATTTCTATTATAATCTCTGGGAATGTCAATATTAGGAGTGAGCAGTTCAAGTCCTCAACATTAACTTGACAAATTCAGAGGGAATTGCTATTGCATTCCATAAAAATTAGATATGGCCAAAATTAATATAAGGTTCACAATGTCCAAGGAATTATAAATTAGTGAAGCCTGGGCTCTCAAGAACATGTTCAAGACATTAAAACAAAACAAAAAAATTTCAGCATTCAACAATAAATACCAAGTGTTTTATCTCATTTACTACTTATGTTAGATTAAGTTATGCTTTAGTTTAGGTTCACTGAAAAGCAGAAACTTTCTTAATCCTATTAGATAAAAACGAAATTACCAGGTAAGATTTTAATTCTGCATTAGATTACATAAAAGATTTAGTTTTTATGGACTTAAATGAACATTTTAATCTCAAATTATCCTATTTAAATCAAATTGTAAAAATTGCAGTGTTATTTGTCATTGCAATCACGCATTTATATCAAAAAGTGTAAAATCATTTTCAAAGTCAAATGAAGTTGAGTTTTAAATACAAAAAAAAAAACCACAAAAAAAACAAGCTACAGTTTATGAGGAAGTGTTTGTGGTTCTGTAAGCCACAGGTTGCCTAGAGAAGAGTGCCCCATCCCTAGGGGAGTTCAAGGCCAGTCTGGATGGGGCTTAGAGAAAGATGGTCTAGTGGATAATGTTGGAATTAGATGACCTTTAAGTTCTCTTCCAACCCAGACCATTCTGTGATTCTCAGATTCACTGATTTTTAGTTTTAGCTAGATGATCCCTGCTCAGAAATTGAAGCTATTAAATCAATCTAGAGTCAGATCTGTCACTATATAATCCTTATGATTTCCTTTTTCTCTACACCATTAAGTATTTTTCTAACCAGGCACCATGCCTGTAGGACAAAGCATCCTCACAAGCTACTGCAAACCAGGACTACAGGCTCACCACCCTGTCTGTAAGAGCACCTAACAAAGCCAAAGCAGGGAGTGGCACAGTGAACCAGGAATGTTTTGTTCTGCAATCTCACTGCAGCTATTATCTGGTTTTAGGTACCAACAGAGCAGGAGAAGATGTGGAAGCAAACGATTGGAAGACATCATGAAGATGTGCTTAGCAGGGGATATTCTTCACCTTTGGGAAATGAAATTGCTACCAGTGCTAGTAGCAAAACAAAGTGCAAAGGAAGCAACTTTATTTTGTTGAATGGTGAGCAAAGAATACTGAACTGAAATCCAGGGAATGGTTCCCTTCATACAGCTTCCAGCAACAGTGTTTTGCACTATTTCCCCAATGCAGCCATAAAAACCTGGTAAATGTTTTCGTAACAGCTACAACTCTTTTATTATTTTGTAGCCACTCTAATGGGTACATCAGCATTATTCCCAACCTTCCTTCAAATTGAAAAGCTTGTGCTGGAGACAAAAAATGTCACAATGCAAGTGTACACTGATATAAAATATATTGTATATACAAGCATTTAACACATAGGAAATAAACGTGTCAAGAAAAAATTTGATCATTAGCAGTCACATTTTCAAAATATACTGGTATAAAAGACTTAGTATGGTAAGAACTGCAGAAGTGTGTTAATTTGAGAACAGATACATCAAGTATCTACAAGGCAAGACAAGTTTTTCTTGCAGTTAAAGGATGAACACACTTTCACTGTAATATAACATATCCTCTGCTAGCCAAGTATGTCTTGTGGAGACAGACACACTGATTTTAAAATTATAACAGTCAATAGCTGCAAAATCATGGTTTTATTATTCAGTTCAGTTTGTATGAACCTGTGTCACTAGTATGATTCTCATAATACTCCCGAGGTAATAACAATCTATTCTCAAGCACAGGCAAATATAATTTCTAAAGGTAAAGGTTTTTCAGCTGGTATCTATTGGTATCTATTGCTACTAACTGTTTTTGGAAAGAAATTAACAGGCCTCTGTCAATATACATCTCTAGTCTCCACATCTTATACTACTACTGCTCACAGCAGCAATTACATTGGAACTTAACTGAAAATGTATGTAGCATGGGAAAGGAGAAGAGAAATGGGGCTGATAAATTTGACATCCATTAACAAAACTTGCAACCAAAGAAGGAGACTTCCAGGAATAACAATCCTGGAGGCAGAAGATGGGTTTTTCTAAAGATTGCTTCCTTTGTACGAAAAGAACAGATCCTTTTCATCCTTTCTTGGATGAAAAGAAGGACATGAGCTGCTAACACTCTCCTGGACTGCATCAAAAGCACTGTGGGCAGAAGGATGAGGGAGGTGATTCTGCCCCACTGCTCAAACCCCACCTGCACTGCTGTGTCCAGCTCGTGGGTCCCAGTGCAGGAAGGACATGGACCTGCTGGAGTGAGTCCAGGGGAGGGACCCAGAGGTGGTCAGAGGGCTGGAGCACCTCTCCTGTGAGCAAAGGCTGAGGGAATTGGGATTGTGCAGCTTGGAGAAGAGAAGGCTCCAGGGAGACCTCACAGCCTAAAGGGGGTCTACAAGAGAGCTGGAGAAGGACATTTTAGAGGGGCATGTTGTGATAGGACAAAAGAGAATAGATTCAAACTTAAATGTTTAGATATATGTTAAGATAGGAGGACGAAATTTTTCCTGCGAGGGTGGTGAGGCACAGGTTGCCCAGAGAAGCTGTCTTGCCCCATCCCTGGAAGTGTGCAAGGTCAGGTTGAATGGGGCTTGGAGCAACCAGGTCTAGTGGAAGGTGTCCCTGCTCATGGCAGCAAGGTTTAAAGCAGGTGAACTTTAAGGTCCCTTCCAGCCCAAACCATTCCATGATTTGTAGCATTTTATTTTTACTGATTGGTTCTGTTTTAGTCTCTCATTCTCCTAAGAAAATTGACTAAACATCCTCCACTGCAGACCAATGAAAGACTGGATAAGCCAAAACACGTACAAAAAATCCTCTCACTATGCATTTTAGCAAATTAGGTTATTTTTGTTTTACAGAAACAAGTAAGAATTTTTATGTACTTTCAAAAAAAACCCCAATAAAAAAAGCCCCTCTCATTTGTAACACAGAAAAGTTTACCAGCCTTCACACAAAATACTATTCACTAGAATAAGGAGTGGAATTAATTTCTATCTTACAGTGTGTCCAAGGACTCCTCTGTTAAGGGAGGGACTTCACGACTTTTTTCAACCCAGCTTTTGAAATGCATCTGATACTTTCCCACTACAGGTACAAACATAAGACTTTGTCCTAAATACTGACAGGATCGAAGCTTTCTTATTTGGAGGACTATAAATTGAAAATTTTTTTTCACAGGTAAGTAAATATCTATTAAAATTCTGGAATATATGCATTTTTCAGCTTTTAAAGATAAGACAAATTATTTCATTTCCTGTTGTATAGAATGTATTCTGTACTAATATCCCTGTTTTCCATTAATATATTTGAGCAATAACGATAGGGAATGAATGCTTAGACACTGAAAAAAAAAAAATCAGATCTTTTTAGCTTCAACTTGTAGGGATGTCTTTTTCTAAATGAGAAAATCTTTTCAGCAACAACTTCACTTCAGGAAAAAAATATTTGCTGTTTCTCCACAGCTAACCCTAGCTTCAATTTATAGTAGTATGCAATTCATGACATTCTTAAGGAGTTGTATAAACCCCAAATCACCCAATAGTGAAGAAAACTGTACAGCTAGAGGTAAAATATGCTCAAGAAATGAAACAATTCAGGATGGCTTCTATACTAAAAAACTAAAAAGACCAAGTACAGTCTGTGACTAATTTATGAACCAGGTAGTTTTACCATTTATGAATTCCTTTAAAATTCTAAACAAGTACAGACTGCAGTCACCATCTGCCTCATGAATGTGCTTCTATGCAATCTACTTCAGCACCTTCTTTACAAGCATGAATATTTCACTACATGAAAAGGGAACAAAGTCAACAACAAAAAAAGTCTTTTACCAGTGATCTTGTTTAGGCGAGCTCTCTTTGCCTGAAATGAGTTGCCTAGATTACTTTTCCTCTTGTGTGATAACGTGCTCTCTGCCTGCACAAAGGGCATCTTTGGAACATCCACTACAGGAAATCCTACTTCTAAACACAAGAAAAACGGCATTAGCTCACATTTCATAAATGCATAACACCCAAAATACTTAAGTAATAGAATAGTGTAGTAAAGAAACTTAAAATGTTTGTAATGTTTATAAAAAAGTTAAATGATACATTCTGAAGATCTAGAATTACATACCAAAACAATAAATGGAGTCTATCTAAAAATTTGTAATTTTTACTGAATGTTATGAGAAATAAGCATTAAAGACTTAAAATGAACAAATCTTGTCAACTCAGATACAGTTTCAAACACCCCTGAATATTGATATAGTATGCCTACTGGAATTTTTTTTTTTCTTAAAACAAGATCAGGGATTATCTCACAGGGAAGAGAAGATCCAGGAATATCAACCAAATTGTACAATGAAATCATTAATAAAAAGCTATGTTCTGCTCTTGATAAAGTTAGTCAGAAGTTTAGCACAAGCAGTAAATGAACTAGACTGAACTAGATTTATCTGATAAAAATAGTTTCTGAACTGATTACTATTATGTATCAGAAGGTCATCATAACAGCAAATGCAACATTTTCCTCTAAAAATATTGGTTATTACTTAACTGCAAAATGAGCAACAGGAGTTCAACACCACAGAAAAATCAATTTTGTGTTTATAGAATGTGCTTTTACCAAATGTGTCACTAGAGGTAGGCTCCTCTTCCTTTTTTTGGACTTCCTGCATGATTGTAGAGGTTGAGGTTTCTTCCTTTTTTGAAGGGACTTTTAGCCATTTTCTGTCCTCTTTATCTTTATTGCTGTTTGCACTGGTTCTAGGTTTACTTCCTGCTTTGTTCTTGGCTGCTGCAGCAGCAGCAGCTTTGACCAAAGCTATCCAATCCTCCAAAAAGGAAAAAATGGTGAGTAAGTATTATAAAGTGCCTAAGACTCAAACAGAAAATACTCGTAAACCCAGTGAACTTTATCTAGAAATGTTCAAATGAAATTCAATTTATTTTTATGGTTACTATTCAGAGTGGTAAAATTGACCTTCCCAAATTTCCAAATAAACCTGAAGCATTATCAGTACGCCACATGGATAAAAAGAAAAAAAAATCTTCAAAAAAACCACTATATATAGAATTCTGGCGGTACACATTCCCTATTAAATTATTTTTTGTGCCATTGCTTTAGAAACCCAGGAGCTCCCAGTCCCAGAAGACTGACACTTTTCTTACCCTTCTCACTCTGAAACACACAATTCCATAGTTGTTGACCTATTATGCAAAGCAACAACTGCCTCAAAGCAGTGTCCAGCTGCATGGAATTCCTCCTGAACTCAACTGATAAACCAGGGATAACTCCTATCTCATTACACCTTTGTTTCTAGAGCAACTACAGACTCTTTTAGTATTACATATCACAGATTTCACTCACATAACTTCAATAAAGTACTCTATAGTATGACTGAATTTCACAATCTGTATTTAAGGTAATTAAGTGTCATTTTGCATAGTTGATTATTTGTACCATACAGAAACATTGAACGGGTGAACAATACATCCCACTCTAATCTACTTTTTGACATTTAGACCAAGTCAAGCCACCTTACAAGGCAATGGAGAGAACTTCCTAGGCTGAGCCAAGCTCTTTCCACTAATTTAGAGCAATGAGACTCCAGCCTTATGTCTCCTGAATGTCAGGGATCAATCTGACTGCCAAAATTGTAACTTGATCCTTTTGACTGAAGTACTTTTTTTAATTTTCTATAACACTGACATACAAAATTCTTCCATGGAGAAGTTATGTGCAATATAGAAGGCAGCAGAAATGATCAACCAGTCAGAATGAAGCATCTGAGTGCTCTGAATTACAAGTACTACCACACACAAAAAAAAAACCATGATAAAGACATTTTTGTCTAATTACCCATGAGAGCTTTACAAATAGTACTTTTTTTTTTTCCAACCGCATACAGACTGTTTTATTCTGAAATATCTCCTTGTTGTTATGCCATTATATGAGATACTCAAAGTAGCTTGATTTTACAAATCTTGTTCCAATGCAACCTTTTCCCCACTCATTACATATTATAAGCCTTTCAAGTTTCTGTTCTGTTGAGGGTTTCTTTGCCTTCTTTGACATATAAGGAAATCATAACACAAATACAGAGTTAATTCTCCTTGCATTATGCTTTTCCTTTTCCATAGTTCAATACCTTTAAATCACTGCTTCACATGGGTTATGCTTCTTCTTTACACCAACTTACATACTTAGAAACAGCAACAGTTTTGATTCCTCTGAGACAAAGTGTACCATGTCCACACTGTCAGTGCAAGATGCAGACACTCACACTAGTCAGCAGCAAAGTTTGGAAGCACTTTGGCAATGCTCACACAACAGGCAACTACTGAGGCCACTTGTGACATGCCAGCACAAATGAGCGTTTCTAACTGCCATCTGCATAGTCAGTCAAAAGCACACATACCTCTTTTGGCCAGCCAAAATGAGCACACCTACTAGCTCCAGTCCATCCAGAGCCTTGCCCATCACAAGGATAAAAAAAAGGATTGAGCTATTTGTGGTGGTGAGGAATTAGGAGATCTGAGAGTAGAAGTCTTACACTGTACCCTGGCTAAGGGATGAAGAGGATCAGTAACATGGCTGGAGATTAGATCTTATGAAGAAAGTGGGAAGGGGAAATAGTGCAGCCTACATCAAAACAGCTTCTAAAGAGCATCCTAATTTTCAGTCAAGCTAAGCACCCTGGAATCAAAAGCTTTCAGAAGATACCAAGCTTCAAAAGACGATGCTGAACCAAGTATCCTGGTCTAAGTGCAGCTGGTGCAACATGGAAAGGAGTTTTGTGGTTTTCTTTGTATTTCATTTCACTGCTTGGACACTGTTCTTACAGCATGGAGTTTACAGTAGCAGGACACATAACAATGAAGCAAACAAAGGTTGAACATTCAGAAACCAGAGAAGAGACACATTCATTATGGTGACAGTTATACTTTTTTTCCAAGATTAACATAATTAACAAATTTAAACTCAGTGAAGAGAACCTGAAGCAGCTGGGATGGACAAGATTATGACAAGAGATTCCTTCCAACTTAAAACAATTTTGTGATTCTGAATTGTTCTGAAACTCTGTGGGTCCATTTTTGTTTTGACTCTGCAGTAAACATACAGGCACTAAAGTGACTCAGTTAATGCCTGCTTTTTAACCTTGAATTACCGCTGAGTGATTGCTCAGCAGCACAGCTCCTGACATGTGAGAATTATTTAGCATCTAAGATGGTAAGGTGACTATATTTTTTTTGTAGAGCACACAGAATTCCTCCTTCAAAAGGATACATTTGTGTCTTTTTCAGAATTTTTACCAAGAAATTAACAAAACAATTGAAGAATAATAGTGAGATCCTAAAGCATGATAAATTCTGAAATCTGCCTCAGGCTAATAGTGTATGTATTCCATCAACCATAATAGCAGGACGCTAAATATCATAGATATCACAGAAATTAGCTACAAATTTTAACAGTAGGACAATTTCCAGATCATACAAAGCCAAAGGCCCAAATAAGAACACATTTGAAATTAACAGAGTAAAAGCAAAATCCTTCTAAGAGAAGTTTTCCCTACTTTTCTTTCATTTCCTGACATTGTCTCTCTATTGGAAGTAGTTGTGTAACTGAACCAGCTACTCTGCATCATCCAGCCTGATTTCCCACTTCCCTCAGTATCTCACCTCAGTGAGCTTCTGATTTACATATGCAACTTTAAAAAATATAAAATAAAATACATCCAAAAATGTGTATTTCCTTCTTTTTCTTTCTTACTAAAATTAAGCTTTCAAGTAAGCTGAGAAAATTGACAGGAGAATAGTAATGACCCACAGCAGTTAGAAAACAAAGCATTACTTTATGACTACTGAGGAAAACTGTCATTATGCTAATTAGATTCACTAAATCAAAACATAGGAAATTGCATGATCAAGAAATACATCAGCAGAAATTACTTAACAGCCTTACACATCAATTGGCTAAAAAACTTGTATTTTAAAATATTCCTTGTGTAACCATAATCCTGCAACAGTGGGAAGGCAAAACGAGAATAATTTCCAAAATCCAACCCTTGCGTCAGTAGCAGAATTCACACATACATCGCTCTCCCTCCACCTGCCTACAACCACCACCTTTTTGCTTCTCCACAGTACTAAGGATTCAGCTGCTTTTTCCTCTTCTGTCACACCATAACTTCCACCTCCCACACGTTCATACATACACATACATAAAACATTAATCTATAGACTGGCTGATTCCACGTCAAGCCTGGATTCCTTACCCTCACCTTTCAATTCTACACAGTCTGCCCCACCTACATCTTGGCTCACATTGTCTCCTGTCACATCTTCTTTTTTCCTCTGGCCCATTCGCAAATCCATGCTTTTTCCTCAGCTTCCTCTTCCTGTGTGCCAAGTCCCCTCCCTCTCCTTCAAATCCCTCCTCAAAACTCACTTCTTTTGGTTCGATTTCCGTCACTAATCTCAGCTCCGGCGCTATCTGCTCCCTCTCGCGCGCCTGATTACATCGAAGATAAAACAAAAAACATGAAACAGAAAAAGTAAGTTATCCAAACACTTCATATGTGCTCTCACAAGGGCAGTCTCAATATCCCTTTTTTCCCCTCTCTGTACTACGTTAGTCACAGATCTGTGTGATTTTGAATAATTTGTGCTTATCTGAACCACAGCGGAGCCTGAAGACTCATTGCACTGAGACAAATATTTTTCACTCTTTAAAAATTTTGCTTTTCTACCCTCATTACTGAATTTTATTAAAACACACTTCTGCTGCAACTCAGAAATAGTTTGAGTGTTATAGCACCTACAGTCTTTTCCTTCAAGTCACACTAAGCTCAAATCAAAGTATTAACTGATCTCTATCACTCTCCAAGTAATTTGAATTCTGCATGCTTAGAACACACCTTCCACAAAGATCTTACAATTTATTGGTGTACTAGAACTCGAAGTATCTTAAGTTTACACTCATCTCTGGAAATGTATTTTTTAGTTTGGATACAAGGAAAATACAGGTTATAAGTTTAAATGAAGCATGAAGTGTTGCATCTGACAACTCTACTTAATTTTTCAAATCAGTTTACAGTCTTGGCATTTTTGTAACCTATACATAAATTTTAGTGAATATTTTCTTACAAAAAACATAATTAAAAAAAAATATCCATGGGAGTCTGAGGCTTAAACAAAGCTCAGTCTCAAATAACTGATTATCAACCAAATCTTAGTTCATGTTTTTATCCTGAAAAAACACAAAACCATTGAGAAAAACAAACATTTTTCCATTGCACTACCTGCAAAAGAAGTTGCAAGAAAAATTATGTCTTTGCCTTTGAAAGCTACAGACTTTCATGCTTATTTCTTATTTTGCAGGATTAAATGCTATAACTAGTACCAATCAGCATTACACAAAGCAGAGTTGGAGGTGTTCTTGTATCCAGACAACTTAAAAATTCTAAATCCATCTCAGAAATTTGTGCCCCCAATTCCTTCTCAAGATTGAAGCAGCCTACATTCAACCCCCAAGATGCATAAGTGGCACCATAACTCTCAACTACTGAGAAAAATTAAAAATAAGAGATGAGCTGGACTGCCACCAAACAAGTCTGGACAACGTAATGGTTGTGAAGTAATGGATTTACTCTTTTTTTGAAAGCTGAAATTGCCTGCAGCCTAAAGAGTAATAGCTAAAGATTAGACACAACATTGCTCCCTAGAAAAGGCACAGGACAGAATCAGGGAGCTCTTTCCACTGTCACAAAAGGCTTGTTTCTTTTCTGTCACAATCACATTACCCAGGTTTTGCTTTTTATGAAGTAAAAAGAAACACTCAAGCTTCCTAACTTACTATTGTACTGACAGTATTCCTTGAAATACCAGACACTGGTTCAACAGTTACTGTAAGACTGCAGCAAGAAGCCAGGGTTAGTGTGACTATACATTTCAGTTTAATCTCCTTCAAGAAACACCTTTTAAATAATGCAGTGATGTCTGCACTAAGTTCCAGTGTCCCTTGCATAGTGGATCAACCCTACCATACAGCTACCTTTACCCTGGAGGCCAGGATGTGGAGATGCTTTCAAGCCAATTCAATTATCCATCTGCCCTGGTCACAATATGGATGGCTACAATGGTAATTATGAAATATTTGAAGTCTGCAAAGTTAAAAGTATTCTGAAGAAAACTAAGAGCAAATAAAGACCAGTTTTCATGGATTTTGTCTCAAATAGTTTCAGTGGAGTAATTTCTCATTAAATATTAAACACAGTTACCATGCAAAATAAATGCAATGGCATTTGCACTGAAAGCATGTAAGAGTTTTAAATGATGTTTCCCTTTCACAAATAAAGATAGGCCTAGTGACTAAATCATGTCCTCTGTTTCATAGTCTCCCTCAGCTTCTGTTCAGCATCTCTCCTCTAACAGCAACTGGACATTATAAGAGACAAGAAATACTTATCTGTCTGATTGCCTGAAAGTTCTGATACAGGGGGAAAAATTCCCAAAGTCATGTTTGTAAGAACATGTGGGCAAAAAGTTCTCATAGTAGCAAACAAAAGACATAGGCAGAGGGTGGGGAATAAATAAAATAAAAAAATCAGCAGCACAGACTGCTGATAAGCTAAAGCTTTTTTCCTGAAAAGACACGAGAGGAAAAAGTCATTGGATGCCTCTGGTTTTGTAAATTCTGTAAGACAAGGCTTTGTGAAGAGATTAGTTGGCAATGGAGTGTCCAGCAGCCAGACATTTCAGTGAGGCAAGGCCACTTGAGCAGCACACTCTGAGGCATCATCCATAAACTGGTGAAGCAAGGCAGTGCAGGGCCTAGAATAAAGACTAATCTAAATCTAGTTATGCTACTGACACTTCTACTGTCTGATAGAAAAAAACAAAACAAAACAAAAAAAAATAAAAAAATAAAAAAATAAAACCAACCAAACCAACAAAACCAAAAAAAAAAAAAAAAAACCAAAAAAAAACAACCAAACCAACCAAACCAAACAATGAAAACCCAAACAACTACACAAAACCTAACAAAGCAATTACTTTAAGTATTCTTACCTGCCCTTTTGCATCCTCTGGCATAGATTTGATATGCATCCTTTTAAGACATCGAATAACACCATCATAGAATTGCACTGTGAATGTTCCTAGAATGGATTGATGGAATCACTATGAGTAGTTAAGAAACAAACACACTTTGTTACTATGAAAGCTTTATGTTTTGCATGCTACTTTGTATGACAAGAGTAACCAGGTGTTACCACTACACAAGATCAAGAGAGGTACAAAAAAACCACAAACGACAGAAACCCTGCTTTAATACTGTTACTCTTTGTCCAGCTGGGCAATTCCAAGTATGTTTAAGCTATTGTCACTTCTGCTCATAATTCATTGCAATAGTTATGTAATATTTAAGGTGCCACACTAGGGAAACAGTCCAACTTACATCCAAGTCCTCAATTGCTCTAAACTACAGTAAAAATGTAAATTTCTTATGTTCATTAGAAATATCATCATTGTGAAGTATTTAATCTGTGTCCCCTTATTTTTCTATTTCCATTGTTTTTCTCCAATAATAAGAATTAAAACAATGATGAAATTATGAAAATTTAAATAGAACTTTAACTCAAATCAGCAATAGTACAAAATAGTCCTAAGACTGGGCACAGGAACTTCTGATCATTGAAACAGCAACAACATTTTACAAAAACTTTTTGTCTTCTAGGAGAAATTCCACTTTTCAAATTTGATACAGATAAAAGACAAACATTTAACTAAATTTGATACAAGAAACATTTTCACTTAATATTGGGGCAGAGTGGAAAACTTTATAGCCATATCAATTTTTTTAAGCAGACTAAATCTACAGCACAGCATTTTCAAGCAGACCTTTCCAATGGTCCATTGCAATACATACCCTCTTTATTAATTGCTTCAATCTTTGCAGGGTAATATCGACAGTCTGTCCAACGAGCTAGGACTTCTTCTCCAGGTTTAAAATCCTATTTTAAACAAATTTAGTAATCAATATTTAAATAATTTCGATTTTTTTTTTCCTTAAAAATTAAGTATTATGTGCTAGAGAGATTTAATGTAGGAAAACATGTAGAGCAGTTTACAAAAGTCCAAAATAAATGTACCACTTACAACAAATTCTTCATCATCCTTCAGCCCCTCTTTCCTCAATGCTGGTCGCTCCAAAGGTCTCAACCTGTTGCTGTCCCAGTAAATCCACTCATCGTAGCGATGGCTCCAGCGTTCAAAATGCACCAACATCTTCCCCTCTTCATAATCTATCTTCTCAATTCGAGATGGATACCTGGAGTGTTAAACACAAGCTGCTAAGTCTCAAAGGTTTCTGTCTTAGTTTAGATACAACAGTGTCTACGTGACCTTTCAGAAAGTTGTATGAACACTTTGTACTAAAAACTCTCTAAGTCTGAAAAAGGCTAAGTAACTGAAATGACTGGATAACATTTAGTTCAAGAATCTATAAACAACATTGAAAATTGGAATCAGGCAGAATTCAGCTCCTTCTGCCCTTCAGAGAAGTATTGAAACAGATTCAAAAGTGCATAGAATCTCCTAAAAAAAAAAAAGGAAGTTAATTACATCACTGATTTTTTTTTTACCAGCATTTAAATTAGGGCTGCTCTAAAGTTAAATTTTATGGAAAAGAAAGACCACAGGAAAAAGACAGCTGCCTTTAACTTTCACAACCTGTTTTCAAAACAAGTACTAAAAGAGCAGACCTTGAGCAACCAATTTCCAATCCTACTGCAAATTCTTTAGCTAGAAAGGCAACTGACATATATTGGGAACCTGTCAACATCATCAATTTTGAATATAATCTCTCCAAAATATTGACTGTGCTCTTAAAGGAGTCTCTAACACTATGTTCTGACTAAAATATAAGTTACCAGGAAGTACAGACCTTCCTTATTTCTTACTACTTGGACCTGCACATTAAAACAAAAGATGTCAATCTCAATTTGCTCCTTCTTTTCTCCTGTCCTACTTCTTCAACTGCAGTTAGGTATACAGCTTCCCAACATTAAAATATCTCAGGAGCTACTGAATAAGAAAATCTCTGATTTCTAGGTTACTACTGCAGCCACATTTCACCCTTCACATCAAAATTCACAGACACTCCAAGCTCTTGTTGCATTTCTCTCGTCCATATATTTCAGAAACACTAAATATTTTTATATCCATTCTTTAAGACCCCATCTTTTTCTCGTTGAACTTCCCAAAAAACCCACAAAGTCATAGTCTAAAACTGAAGCCTCTCACTTGCCACTCCCCTAATAAAATCTTTTTCAAGTCACTTTTTCAAGTCTTTCAAAGAAACAAGATCAGCCTCTCTTCCTCCTCTAAAGCAGACTGACAATAACAATCTGACAAGAAAGGTGGAGCTGATGATGTACAGCATTAAAACAGTTTGTAAAACTCTTGGGTCAAACTTGCATCCCAGCAGCAACATTCTGGTTTAACTTTGAACAAGGCTTCAAGAAAATAAGTCAGCCATGAGACGGTTTCCCTAAGCCCTGGCTCTGATTATACTTTAAGTCCATGTGCTGCTACACTTAGAAATTTTATTATCAGAAAATTTATTATAAAATTTCTAGGTTTTTTTCATCTTTCGGAGTGTTCCAGTTTCAGACTTAGAACTTGACACTAAAACATCAAAATACGCAGGAAGAGGAGCAAAACAGAGGAAAAAGTCAAGTTACTGTTACAACAGCAAGTGTGTGAGAAACAATGTAACCTAATGGAGTTCTAAGTAGAAGGAGAACACAGAAGATATTTAACAGAGGGAAAGAAGGAAAAACACCAGAAAAGCAACAGCAGAGAAAGTTCATTTTGCAGCAATCAGAAATGGAAGCCAAGAACAGTGATGCCCTTTCCCAGTACAGCTGGGAATTTTAGGCTTATTGCACGCCCGCCACCAGTGATGCAAAACTATGGTTGTTTTACAAAATTCAGGGCCAACCAGCTGAAAGAGAATTCTCCTTTTCCTACACATCTCCAATGCAAACACTCTGCTCCCACTACGGCGCATCCCTATAGCAGCTCCCTTGTTAGGCCGGCAGCTTTCTCTGGTCAGCAGCAGCCAAGACACCATTCCAAGCACTCTGTGCAAAGACAACAGGAGGGATAAACTGGGAAAACACAGCACTGACATGGAAAGAGCAAACCATGTAAGAGGGGAAAGTAAGATGCAGAGCACAGTTTAGAGACAAACATTTTAAACTGAAGATAATTATAAAGACAATTGAGCAAGATAAGAATTGAGACATTAATATATACACAAAATCAAAAGAGAAAATGCACCAGTTAATAAAAGAAGATGTGCAAAATTTTAATTCTCATTAGAGATCACTTTATATAAGACATGAAGCTCAAGGTATTTATAGGTTAATTTCTCTTTGCTAAATACAATTTCTGTTATCATCTTTCTAAAAATCCATTATATGTCCTTAGAGATGGAACTGCCCAAGCCATATGCAACTGGTTATTAGGTAACCCAAACACAACTCAGTATTTAGCAACAAACTATTATTCCCAATATCCACTAAATTTAGCCACACATTGTGCCACAAATATGTACAAACAGTAATATTTCACAATACTGATCCCACAGTGGAAAAGACCAGAACATATCTATTGCAGAACTTAAATTATCCCCTGCACAAAAAGATCTTTCTGGTGATTTTGTACTCTAACTGAAAAGAATCTATTTCATTAATTAAAAATATTAACATGAAGATGATTACACCTCTTACACTTCAGAACTTTTATGTAGAAGTTACTTCCATCACAAAGTTATAATCAGGCATTTGAAGAAGTACTGCAAAGGGAGACACAAATATCATTCTTTACAGTACCAAAGAATAGTAATATCTAAGGCCAAGACAACTTCCCAGTCAGGTTAATTCCCCCAGCAAGTAAGCCACACTAAGTCATCACAATGAAACTGATATACAACTGGATCTGACAACACTTCATCAGAACAAACCAGAAAAATTCCACTCTGAAATTTGAGGGACAAGTCTTCACTTTTAAAAAAACAAAACCAAACAAAACAACAACAACAACAAAAAAAAAAGCCAGCAACAACAAAAAAACCCAAACAAACAAACAAAAAAAAACAAAACAAAAACAAAACAAAAAAAAAAAACCACCAAAAAAAGCCTCAGACCAGCACACTGAAATTCAATAATCAAGGAATTTCTTTTATGGGAAGAAATAATATTCTGGGTGTGATTTTTCATAAAGCTGCTGGAAAGAGCATGTAGTAATCAGAAATGAAGTTTCATCCAAATTTCAGGGGGTTTGCTCTTGCTTTTCCAAGAGGGAACGAGAGAACTGCTGTTAGCTGAATTTACCTGCCCAGTTTACACATTGCATGCCCTCCATTCTCAGGTTCCAATCTTGGCACTTCCAACCCATTAGAATTAGGCAATATTTTTGGAAAGCCTCAGAATTTGATATGGCTTAAAAACTAATACTATGAAGCCCTGGTCAGGCAACAACAGTGTTCTAACATTCATACAATAAAAAAATAATTGAAAACTTCCCACTTCACTTCTTGACACTGAAAAAAAAAAATATTTTCTCCAATGCACTCAAGACCCATTAACAACTGGCACCTTTTTTTTCCATCATCCTTTTAACCCTTCAAAAGTGACCAAAAGGTGGTGAAATGGGGCAATAGGCATTTCAGACTGTAAAAAGGAATAAAAAACATTAGTAAATCTGCCCAAGTTTGTACCTATACACTCTATAAAGTTTACAAACACACTCATACTTCTTGCCTTTCTAATGCTGCTTTAAAAAGTGCTTCCTTCTACCTCATAGAGGACATAAAACCAAATACCCTCCGTGCTGACTTCCCACAAACAGTGTTCTAGTGTCTGCAAAATCTGCAAACATCTATTTCTGGGTACCTACATTTATTATACATATATTGTATTAAAATAAAGCAGACTTCACTTCCCTTTCTAACACTTACCAAGTAATCCAGTCAATTGAAATTCAAAGCAAGGACTGTACCAAGTAAGATTTCTCAAAGTCTTTCAGGGAAAAGACCTCCTCCATACTGGGGTGGGGGAAGTGTGTGGAAATCCATCCAGATAATCAAATATACCAAGAGGTAGTATTGTTGTTCCAATAACTAACCTATTTTAGAGGGCTGTTTCCATTCCAGAAACCAGGGCCATCTATCTGTACTTCATTACCTAACTTAAGAGTTTAGATTGAGCGAATTAATAAAGACTATGGTCTCAGAAAAACAACAGGGTTTTTTCAAATCAGTATCTGCTGCTTACAGGACAACCAGTAGAGAGCTACAGCCAAAAAAACCCACACAAAAATATTAAAAAAGGAAGAGATGCATCTTTAAATACATCAGCTTTGCAGGGACAGTGTCCTACTTGTGGGAGCTGTCAGCTCAAGAACTGTCTTACACACAGATATGCATTTGCAGGTAAGTGCAGCTCTACTGCTTTTTCACTTGCTCTGTCAGCAAAGAGAGGCAGAAGAGGGTGCATGCACATGTATCAGTTTTTGTATGAGATCACAGGGGGATTCAAACTGAAAGGAACCTCAGAAAGCCTCTAGTCCAACCTCCCACTCAAAGCAGGGTCAGCTATGGCAACAGGCCAGGTTTTCCAGTCTTGAAAAACTCCCATGATGGAGACTCCACAAACTCTTCAGGCAACCTGATCCACTGCCTGACTGTCCCAACAGGAAAAAAATTCTCCTTGAACCTAGTCTGAATATCCCATTTCAGTTTGTGCCTGTTGTCTTGTTCTGTAACTACCTGTAGGGTTTGGCTAAAACTTGCTGATGAAAGCCCTGTAGGTATCAGAAGGCTGATAGTGGGATTTCTGAAGCCTTCCCCAAGCTAAAGAAATAATTTCCTCCCTCCCTCTTCATAGGTCATACACTCTTCCAGCCCCTGATCATTTCAACATACTTAATAATATTCTATTTTATATTATAATTTTCAATCCCATCTCATTTATTATCTGCTGACAGATGATCAGTTTTGATTAGAGCTGCAGTTCATAGTTTGCTTTAGCAAATTTAAATGGAACAAGTGGTACAAGTTCTTCATGCAAGATGATCCCCTAGTACAGCATAATTGCTGTACTTGATAAAGGAGCAATAAGCAAAAATAAACATGCTCATTGACAGCCTGTCTTTGCTGACCAGTTTGACCAGGCTTTCTTCTACTCTGTCACAGTACATGACAAATGACACCAGTGATCCAAACACCCTCTGCAAAAACTTCATTTAAAACTGCAGGGCTTTAAAGCAGCAAGTAGTCAAGGTACACCGATGATGCCTTGAAAGTTTACAAAACATAAATGAAACATCAGATGCCAGGAGTTCAATTTCAGCAACTACTACATAGTTGAAAATTAAAGACCTGCAAAAGTACCTCAGAAAACAAAAACATATTTTACTGTATTTTTTCTTACATCCTCTAAAAGCCTTTCTTGATTAACATTTTAACTAGTCATGATGATAGATGACAGCAAGCTTTCAGAAAAATGGAGAAAAAAAATAAAATCCTTTTAAAGGCTATTTTTCACCAAGTGTTCACAATTTGTCACTTACAGAAAGACTGAGCTAAGCAATACCAATGCTCTTCAATTTGGCTTTTGTTAAAAAATAATAAAAGAGATTTCATGTAAGTTCAGCAAGTTTATTTTCTTTGAAGTATGTATTTCTGCATGCAAATGAGCAGAATGCATACAGATTATATATAGAAAGAATTTTAAAAACATCCACCACCCCCTTATGCAACAGAAAGCCAACTAAAAAAAATCCTATAGACTGTCATTGCAACCCTTGACACCCTAATAATAGCACAACAGTAGATTTTCTGTCACAAGGTATTTGGCTTTGTATTATTAGTTCATTTTGCATTACTAAGTATTACTGTATTTCAAGTTCACTTCAAACACAGCCCTGTTTTCACTATTGCTGCAACTGCTAAATTTTGATATTAACTTTCTTTTGTATATGGCACCACAAACATTTACACGTGTTTATACACCTGGGTCTACCTGGTGTACATATAATAAATCAAATCCTGGAAAGTCCAGGATAGATTCTGTTCTTCCTGAAAACATCCACCAACTCAGCTGCAGAGCTTGTGACATGGCCATGCCTGACAATCCAAACCCAGACAAGAACTCCAGTACTGACATGCAACCCTTCCCTGGAAAAAGCTGGGCAGGTCTGACACAAACCACACACTGGATATTCAGTGATATTTTTTTGATTCTGTTAAGCTATTTTTACATATTAATTTTTGTTACCTGATTACATAACAAATTATCTCTAGACACAGATGATGCTATAAAAAGTTTTATTGCTCTATTTTGGATGTTTTTCTTATCCTGCCATTCAGTTACAGAATAAGTATGCTGAAAACCCAGTCTACAGTAACAGGTAAGAACAAGAATAGTTCTATAAACCAAATCCTTTAGAGCCCATTTATTAAGACAAACACTCTTCCTATAACTAAAATCAAAGCTCTACAAATAAGTTTGACCAAACTTTTTATCCAGAGCACATAACGCTGGAGCAGACATGTCAATAATACACAGACTTCTCTCCCACATCACTTGGAGTTAAAAGGATCAGACATTTACAGGAACATGCTGAACTCTCCAGGAAAGCAGCTACACACCTCTACATTTCTTAGCCTTAATAAATCAGAGAGCAGCTAAGAAAAAACCTCTAAGTAGAAGCATCAACTACTTCTGTCACCTACTTTAACAAAGCCAGGCATTTTTCAAACTCAACTACATGGCCAGCACACATCAACAAATTAGCCCGCTTGCTTTAATAAAATTTTTACTAACAATTTTTTTCATCAGAACAGCTCCTTTCACAACACACATGCTGTGCAGCACAGTCCTTGTGCCCACAACTTCCATTTCACAGTCTTTGAAATCACAATATGCCTGGGTGGTTGCAGTCACAGTTTTAAGTACTTAATTCCTCCAGCTGTTTAATAAAAACACAACTGTATCTGCCTATCCCATGAACTCCAATTCAGGATGTGGGTTTGGTTTTTTTTTTTTAGAATCAGTTTTGTGAACCTGTCAAGTGTGACAACTGAATACAAAACAACTCCCCTTGCATGCCTTCAAATGAAGACAAAAGAAATATTTGATCATGAAGTTTGCCTCATTGACACACGGATCACCTCGGCCATGACACTGAATTCCACACTTCTTCAGGAAGGCTCTTTGCTTGCTACAGCTGCACAAGCCACCAAGAGCAAATAAACACAAACCCCTAGAAAAGTTTAGCTCGATTTCTGAAGTGAGAATATTTTCCTAAAAGCTAACACTTTTAACAGACTTAGATGGAAATTCATAAAGTTCACATGTGGAAATTGTCAACTGATAGGTACACTGATTTCTATAATCAATTATCAAAGCACACAAACTACAAAAAATAATTATGCTCTCAGCAAACACTACACAATGTCTTCCATACCATTTCTGCAAATAGTCCAGTGCCTCCAAACGAGCACCAATCTCAAATGTGATTCCAGGACGATTTGGAGGCTTTTTACTCATCTTGATATTGTCTTTTTCACCACCTTTGAAGGAAGGAAAAAAGTTGCATTAAAATACATTATGTTGTTTAAAATATGCAATTTACAGCAAATATAGTCCAGAGGGTGCAAAGATGCAAAATTTTGATCCTGATTTTGTATTAACTGCTTAGCTTACAGAAATATAGTCAGGGCCCCCAAAAAAAGGCATAAAAAAACCCTACATACATACTTTTATTCACATTTCTTTTGCTTCAAAAGAGCATCAACCTTAAGTCAAAAAATAATAAGAAAAAACCACAGTGCTCATCTCTGGAACTCTACTAGACATAGTTTTTAAGCAAAATTTTAATTTACTAGACATGGTTTTTAAGCAAAATTTTAATTTACCTATAGTTGACATATGTGCTCTCCTCAGGCGAAGAAAAGGCAAACCGAGAAAAACTTACCTTATCAAGAACAGATAAACATGGCCTAAAGGACAAGTACGATTAAATTAGCACAAACAAAAAAATAAACAAAACCCCATATTGAGTATTTCTATGCACTCACAGCAATGAGTTTCAGTCACAACTGCCTTCTAATTTTATTTTGCAGCTCAGTCACTATCAAAAAGAAAAAAACACAAAAACCTCTCTGTGCAACTATTGTCGCTATCACCGCGACTTTCTGCGGCGCTCCCTGCAGCACCCCGAGCCCACTCCCGAGCGGGAGTGCCGGGATGCGGGGTCGGAGCCTCCCAGCCCCGCACTGCGGGGGGAGCGACACCCGGCCCCCGTTCTCCAGCGGGGCTCCCCTGCCAGCTCCGGCAGCGCGGACACGCCAAGGGCGCAGCGCAGCGGGGCTGGGAGCGGGTGGGCCGCGGCGCGGCGGGGCCGCAGCGCTCGGCGCACCGGGGGAGGCCCCGCCGCGGGCGCCGCCCCGCCAGGCCCGGTCGGCGTGCGGGGGGAGCCGGAGCCCCGTCGCCCGCGCTTCCTCCGCGCTTCCTCCGCATCCCTCCTCGCTACCCCCGCGCCTCCCCCGCGCTGCCGGCCCTTACCGCCCGCTCGGCTCGCTCGGGGCCCGGCGCGGCTGCCGCGGGCTGTCCGGCACGGCCGCCCCTCACCGCCCCATCCTGCCCGCGCCCCGCTCGCGTCACCGCCGCGCGACGCGCCCCGCCTCCGGCACGTGACTGCGCAGGGGCGGGGGGCGAGGCAGACAAAGAGCGGCGGCCCCGGCTGGGGACGGCGACAGCGGGACAGGGCCATAGCCTAACACCGCCACACACTGCCAGCCACAGCCTAACAACACCGCCACAGAGACAGCGGAGGGGGCTGTCCAGCGGAGGGAAAGGAAGGTGTTTAATTAAGGCACTGGAGCATTTCTCGTATTGGCCAAGGCTGAGGGAGCTGGGGCTGTACAGCCCCAGAAGACGCGGCTGAGAGGGGAGCTCGTCCCGGAGGATCTGAAGAGAGGGGTCAGGAGGATGGGTCACCCTGCTCGGTGGTGCCAAGTACAAGAGGGAACGGGCAGAATGCACGGGGAGTTTCAGCTGAATAGGAAGAACTTTCGTGTGCAGTGACCCTACATGAAACATTGCCTAAAGAGGGTGTGGAGTCTCTCCACTAATTCAAGTAGACACACAATCCTGTGCAATGTGTTCTAGAATGACCCTGCTTAAGCAAGGAGGTTGGACTGAATGACCCACTGCTGTCCCTTCCAGCCTGACCAGTTCTGTGACTCTGGGATCTGTAATTCTGTGATAGGGAGAAAAAGACTCAGGGCAGTCACTGAGATGGTCCTGGAGGTGCCACAGCGTGTGGCTGGTGGCCACAGGACAGCCCCAGCCAAGCAGCAGCCTCACAGTGGCCTATCTTTGCCTCTGTTTTTCACCCATGAAACCAGCTTCATCTGACCCACAGATTTTCTTGCTTTTATTCATCCCAGCCTCCCCCTGTGCTGCTGAACTGGGTGGGTGCTTGGCAGCTGGTGAACAGCCCACTGCTGTCCCTTTGACACCCAGTGTTGTGGTGACTGCTGTGCTGCTTATCACTGTGTTCTGCTCTGCCTGAAAGGCCTATGATAAAGGCAATGACCATGAGCCAAGTCTGGCATTTGGCCCCTGCATTGCTGTCATCCCAGGGCTCAGGGAACAATCTCATGGAGTCTTTCCTTCTATTCTTCTCCAGGACAGATGTCTCCAAGTTTGTAATGGCAAGATCAGCATCATCACATCCCCATGGATGTGATCAGTAAAATAATAAATGTCAAGTTTCCACCAATTAATAAAAAAACATAGTGTATTTCTGGAAACTGCACATTCTGGATCACAGCTTGTGAGTCCTTTCCATTAAGTGACCTTTAAGAACATTTTTGAGTGTATTGAGTTTGTGTATTCACAAGCAAGACTTTGTTAGTGGGGGGCTTCTGTGAGAAGCTGCCAGAAGCTTGCCCCATGTCCATCAGAGCCAAAGCCAACTGGGTCTAAGACAGATCCACCACTGGCCAATGCTCAGGCCATCAGTGACAATGTTTTGCCTTGGATGGTAACTGGTGAGTGATCTCAGGAGTGATCCTTAGGACTGACCTGTCCTCTTGCCCTAGAAGCCTTTTGTTAAATTTACTCTCCTCTATCCATTTGGGAAGGGCAGTGAAAGAGTGGCTTTGGTGGGCACCTGATGTCCAGACAAGGTCACTAAACAGCAGCAGGACAGACAGGACAGTTTGTATGGTAGCCCTTGGACCTGTCCAGAGAGTCTCCCCCAGACCAGCTCTGTGCTCACCTGGAACCTCTGGCAGAAAACACCTGATGGACCTCTGGGGTTCTGGAGCTGAGGGTATCAAGGGTCTGAGAGGTAACAGATGTTCATAGGAAGAGGCACCTCTACACATAATGCAACTGAAGCTGCATGGAGTAAGGGAGTAGGATTGATCACACAGTGGGCTCAGATGAGGAATTCCCAGTGCCTCTGAATGCTGAAAGAAGTCACCATTGAGCCAGGAGGCAGAGATTTCAGAGCATCATCTCAGGAGGTGGCTCAAGCCCAAAAGTATAATAAATAGCAGAAGGCAAAAGGCAATATGCTCTGTTTACCAATGTTTCCTGTTGTGTTGTGCAAAACCATCTGATGTGGAAAGCTACTGGGTGGAGCACAAGTCGTGGACCAAATTAATTGATTGCACTTGTATGGATGTTTGGGAGATGTCCCACAGACTAAGGGAACCACATCTGTGCATGTGTCAATGAAAAAGAAGGGGGATCATGATTGATGGTGATTTTGATAACACACCAGTGTGGTGGCCATTGCTGAATAACACTTCCACAGTGTCAGGGCTCACTTTTTTTTCCCCCACTCATCTTCCCCAGCAAGCAGGCAAGGGATGGGCAAGAGACTGGGAGGGACAGTTGACCTAAACTGGCCAAAGGGATATTCCATGCCATAAAACATTGACCTCACCAAGAAAATCTGGGGCAGAAGAAGAAGAAGACTGGTGAGACATTTTCTTTCAGGGTGACCATTGCTGGAAGATGGAGGGGTATAGGTCTCCTGATGGGAAGTGCTGAATCCTTGCCTTTGAATTGCTTGGGGGTTTTTTTGGGTTAGGTTGGGTTGTTTAGTTTAGGGGTTTTTGCTTTCCTTCATTTATTAAACTGTCCTCATCCAGATCTGCAAACATTTCTGGGGGTGCTGGTTGACAGTGACTGAACACAAGCCAGCAGTGTGTCAAGGAGAAAAATGGCATCCTGGCTTGTATCAGAAATAGTGTGGCCAGCAGGACTAGGGAATGAGATTGTCCCTCTGTGCTCAGCACTGGTGAGGCCATATCTTGAATCCCATGCTCAGTTTTGGGCCCCTCACTGCAAGAAAGACATTGAGCTGCTGGAATGTGTCCGGAGAGTGGCAGCAGAGCTGGGGAAGGGTCTGGAGCACAAGTCTGATGAGGAGCAGCTGAGAGAGCTGGGGGTGTTCAGCCTGGAGAAAAGGAGAATCAGGGAGGACCTTATCACTTTCTACAACTCCCTGAAAGGAGGCTGTAGCCAGGTGGGATTGGTCTTTCCCCAAGGCAGCAAGTGATAGGACTTGGAAAAGGCATCAAGGTGTGCCAGGGGATGTTTAGATTGGATATTAGGAAAACATTCTTTACAGAAAGAGTGGTCAGGCATTGGAACAGGCTACACAGGGAAGGGTGGAATCACCACCATTCCTCAAAGTGTTCAAAAACAAACGTGGATGTGGCAGTGAGGGGCATGGGTTAGTGGTGAACAGAATGGTGCTGGGTTAATGGTTGGGCTCAATTGTCTCAGAGTTCTTTTGGTTCTTAATGGTTCTCTAATGAGCCTCACTTTTGTTCTTCCCATTCTCTTCCCTATGCCACTGCTGGGGGAGTGAGCGAGTGGCTGTGTGGGCGTTTGGCTGCTGTTCAAGGTCAATCCATCTGCTTCATTTAGTCCCCAGGAAGCCGGCTGCCTCCCACTTGAGGAGTCTTTATAGACAGACTGTTCAGTAGGATATTTTAGAGTATTTGCTATGATATTTTTTTTCCTCCCCTTCCCTTGTTACCATTTTCTGGAACGTGGTGGCAAACAGAAGAGACTGAAGGAAGAAGGAGGCTTGAAGAAAAACAAAGGAAACAAAATAAGAAAACAAGGAAGGAAGGGAAGGAAAGGAGGTTTTTTTTCGGTTTTTTTTTAAGTAAAAAAAAAGTTGCCATTGCATTCATTTGAATTCTCCAACTCTTACTACTGTTGGCATATTTTGATGCAATCTTTGGTTTAGAGAGTTTGCCACAGGATAGTGAAGGTTGTTGTGTAAGGAATGAGCTCTAAGTGGCAAGGAATGTGCAGCATCAGGACAGTTAGAAAAGTGGAGGTGCTTCTGTGCAAGGAGAGGGAATGGGGGAAAATAAAATGCTGTGAGGATGGAGCTGGGTAAATGGGAGTCACTGAATCATGCTCTTCACTGCTGAAGACTGAGTTATGCCATGGTGTGGGATGGGCTCAGAGCAGTGTGTGGCACCCCATTTCTTTGCTACTGAGGCTGTTGAGAGGGAGGTAGAGCTGGCAGGAGGTGGCAGAGGCACAGCAAGCCCCTTGTATTTATTAATATGGACAAAAGCACATCTGCTAACACAGAAGAGCCCAAGGAGGACAAACCCATATAATCCCCAGCCCTGGAAGCTCCCAGGAGCAATCAGCCCATCAAAGGCCATTTTCTCAAGCTCAGAGGAGCACAGGGACAAATGGCAGGTGGGAACCAAATCAAAGACTTGGAGGAAGGGACACATGATGCAGGGTGCCATGTGTGACTCCTACCACACTGCCTTCAGAACAGCAGAAGTCCACTTGTGGTCCAGCAGCACAGGGCAGCATTTCTTTGCACTATTATCAAAACACTTAGGAAAACAAGGAGTCCCAGCCACTGTCCCCATTTCTTTGCTGCCATTCCATGTGTATCCATCCCTGCCCTGCTGTAGTCCACAGGCACCCACAGCTGCTGCTGGCCCTGGCTTGCCTCTCCCAGTGCCTCCCTAACTCTGCCATGGCCCAGGAGCCTGTTTCAGCTACACTTGCCTGTCTGCCTGCCATTTTCCCTTTCTTCACTTATTCCTAAAACTTCTATCTTACTTTAAGCTTGACACTGAAAGAGACACATCACATTATTCCAGCTTTTCTGTTAAAATGCTCAACTGGACAGGGGAGGGTGACTGAGTTGACCTCTCCACAATGGAAAGACTCAGTGGTTATTTTCCTTCAGACACCAGAGCATGACAAGACAGAGATGCAAGAAAAGAGATTTCACTGTTTCTGCTCCTCACACAATTTGGTGTTTAATCTTGTCACGAAGCATGTCTTCAGCTTCGTCATGAATATACAGGCCATAAATTGGAAACCAAACTGGATGGGAGATTTTATATTGCCAGTCAGTGACTCACTGAGACTCAGAGAGGGGGAGAGAGGATTTCATAATCAGCTGAGCATGAGCTCATGGTGTGCTGTTGATGCTGAAAAGACTAATGCAGACTTTGCAAAGCACATGCACATGGAAACACAGAGTAGGAGTAGAGAGGTGACATTATCACTGCACTTGGCACCAGTACGTTGTTATTAAAATAACTGATTGTTCAGAAAACCCATCCAAAAATGGGAAGGGTTCAGGAAAG